ACACACAAAGTCCTAGGCAAACCAAGACAAACAGGTGCTCCTGGTGCTGGGTCCCAGGGTTCATCTTAAAAAGTATAGACAACCCCAGGGACCTTTCACTTATGTAATTTATATCTGTTGCTCAAACCCTGCATATTGAATGAAAACAACAACAACAACAAAAACCTGGCTCTTGACCATTTCCTGGAAGATGCTTCCCCCCCTCCAGCCTTTGGAATATGCAACCCCCACCTGCTGCCTTCCCTTTGCTGCACTAGCATGTCCAGCTGCCTACTTAAGAGCACCTCTTGGGGAAAACGCCACTTGGGTTGTCACCACAGCACCAGAATCTGCTGTGTGGAGCCTTCCTTCTCTCAGTGCTCGGTAGCCCCATCCTCCCGGCGCAGGCCACGGACCTTGGAGTCACCCTAGACCTCTCTCCTCCTCCCACATCCCAAATCCAACCCATCAAGCAGTCTCCTTGATTTCTAGTTTTTCTGCTTCCCTCTACCTCCACTACTTCTACCTGGTCCAAACCACCACCATCTCTCTTTGGAAGAGTCTGATCATCTTCAAACTGGGCTGCCTGATTTTGCCTGGGCCCCCCGATCTGCACCAGATGACCCTTTAAAATCATAAATCAAATCACGGGATTCCTCTGCTGCAGACCATTTATTGACTTAATCACACTCAGAGTATAAGCCAAGTCCCCTGACCCAAGTCCCTCCCTGACCTGATTTGGATTTATTCTCACTCACGCTGCTGCACCCCGCTGGCCCCCTTCTGAGCCACACCAGACGCACCCTTGCTCCAGGCTTGTATCTGCTGTTCCCGCTCTTCCCTCTAAATTCCTTCAAGTCTCTTCAAGTCTGATCAGCGAAACCCTCCCTTCCCACTCTGGAACATGAAACAGCAACACCCTCCAGTCTTCCCCACCGTCCTTCAGTATTTACATCCACAGCACTCGCGCATCTGTGACACCAAACGTTTGCCTTTTATGTGTTCACTGTCCTCACCCCCACCCCACTAGACTCCGCTCTGGAGGACAGAAACTCTCTCTCTCTCTCTCTCTCTCTCTCTCTCTCTCTCTCGTTCCTGTACTCGCTGCGTGCTGGTGGGAGCACAGGCAGCGGGCAACCAACAGGCTTGCAGCAGCTGCCGACTCCTGGGAACTTCGCCTCCACAAAAGCACAGTTCAGAAGCTGATGGCATTTTCCCCACATGCAATGTCACTCTTCCAAATGGCCAAATAATCCCCATTCTCAGGAGAACGTAGACAATAACTTAGGGCCGATTCTGCGATCTGCAGGTAAGCTCCGGGAGGGCAGGGACTGGGTCCGGCACGTGTTTGGGGTTCCTGAGGATTTGTCGCTTGACCAAAGAACTCTTCCATCTAATCGCGAGGTCCCGCAGTGGCAGCGCAGAGAGAACGTTAATGATACTCTGTCCATCTGCTGTTGGGGCTAAATGAGATTGGCAGAGGGTAAGTGACCTACCCAAGGTCTCACCACTAACTAGAATTAGGTTTCCCAAGTCCCGTTCCATGGTTCTTTCCCAAGCACTGAACCGCCAGTGTCAGGTTCAAAGGGCTGGGGAAAACTTTGGAATGAAAATTAGAGAACAAGTTTCTAAACCTGGAAGGGACAAGGGTGTTGAGATCACATTGGTGCACCTCATTCTGCAGCAGCAGGAGCTGGATTTGGAAACAAGTCAGACGTGCTCATATCCCAGTAACGCGACTAACGAGTTGTGAGAATTTGGTCAAGTCCCTCAACTTCTGGTCCTCAGCAAACTAGTCCGTCAAATGGGGACCCTTCAGTGGCACTGTCGTGAGGTCTCTGAAGTCGGGCTGCAAAACCAAGTGAGGAAGGAGGGTGCTTTCATCTTGTCTAACTGATCTGGTCTTGCTCACCTGCCGGTTAGCATGGAAAAAATCAGCTCAAGGTCCGATTTTGTTTAAAGGTTCATCCAAACAGGTGCAGAGTTTCAGTATGGGACAATAAGAGTTCCAGGGAGAAGCAGCGGTGACGGCCGCACAATGGGACCGCGCCTGATGCCGCTGCGCTGTGCCCTGAAGAACAGGCCCTGCCGCTTTGGCTCGGTGCTAGCGCGTCGGGTGCATGGAAATGTCATTGTGGGGATGGCTGGGAGCAGTGCTGGGCCTTAGCTGGCCGGATGGAGCCGTGAGTCACGCGTGGTGACCCCACCCCTCCTGCATCCCTCCCTGGCTGTCGGTCCTTTCGTTCTCCTCACTGTCTCCACGGTCTGGCCCTTCCCTCAGTCCACGTCCCACTGTTTGGTTGAGCCCTATCACTTTTTTAAAAATCCTCACCCCAAGATATGTTTACTGATATTTAAGAGTGAGGAAGGGGGAGGAGGAGAGGGAGAGAAACATCGATTGGGCACCCCAACTGGGGATCAAACCTGAAATCTAGGCATGTGCCCTGACCAAAACTGTTTGGTGCACTGGACCATGCTCCAACCAACCGTGCCACCTGGCCAGGGCGAGCCCCGCTTCTCCCCCATAACTTGATGTCCGTGCCGGAGCCCTCCCCACCCTGTGCTCGCTGACCGACCGCCTGCTTGCCGGCCTCAGGCCACGCGGGCTGGGGAAATGGTCCTCAAGCATCCACCGAGCTGCTGCTGGCCGCTCCCAGCCTGCGGCCCCTTTTCAGTGCTCACAAGGTGTCACAGGGGAAGGAGGTGACAAGGCCCTTAGCTTTACATCTCGAAGACAGCGTGAAAGCAAGTTATAGAATTTTACTTAAAAAAAAATCTGTGTAATTGTTACCAACAGGCCACTTTGAAAGTTCTAGGACAATCACGAAATTAGAAGGTGCTGTCCCAGCTCAGTGGTGAGCAAAATGGTCAACAGACTATGTAGGCCTATCTGTACATTAGCCAAGTGTGAAGTTGATATATCTTTCCCAGTCTCATATCTCTTTAAACTATGTCACTACCTGGCCAGTGTGGCTCAGTGGTCGAGTGTCGACCCATGCACCAAGAACTTGCCAGTTCGATTCCTGGTCAGGGCACATGCCTGGGTTGTGGGCTCTATCCCCAGTGGGGGGTGTGCAGGAGGTGGCCAACCAATGTTCTCTCATCGATGTTTCTATCCCTCTCTCCCTCTCCCTTCCTCTCTCTCTAAATCAATAAAGAGAAAAAAATAAAAATAAATTATGGCATTTACTAAAGAGGAGAGGCTGCCTGTAACTCATTAAAAATGTCACTATAACATGGAGAACCGAAGAGTTTTTAAAAAGCACAATTAATCATAATTCTTCCTTTGTAAAATAACTGGAAGCCAAAATAATTTAACAAATTCTATCCTTAATAACAATTTTTGAAAAGGCTCTTACGCCTATTTACTTACTGAAAATTCTCTGAAATCTCAGATGTGAGCTAATCCGGTGAATATAGGGTCCAGGTACTCGGTTTTCTGTTTCCCTGGGCCCTCCCCTGCCTGAGGTCTAAGCTCTAAGAACAGCACAGGGGTGGGGGGGTTCCCTACTCATTTGGGTTCAGCCACCAGGGAGCATGGAGGTGGGAGGAGACAGGTTGGGGTAGTCCTGGTAGAGGACACGTGTCCTCCAGCTCCCCGTGTGGGCCCTTCCCGCCTGCCCCACAGCTCTGGCTCCTGCTGGGTGGTAACAACCTCCAGCTGTTGCTAATGTGCCGTGAAACTGCTACTGTCTCAGCTGAGAGCCCCTTCATTTAAGTCTCCCGAACTCCAATAGGTGCTGGACTCTCCTGCAGGGACCTCAACTAATATATCCATAATAAGGCACCCTTGACTGGTGTCCACTAGGACAGTGTTGTCCCGAGTGGCTGGTCACCAGTGGGCATCAACTATGTGAGTGCTGGTATTCCACTGGTACCCCTAGAAGATAATGTGACTCGGTTTGTAACTAATGGCCTGGAACTTGTACCTCCAAATTTTTTCACCTCCTCAAAGTTGATACCTTAGGATGCTTCAATACCTATTCCTATGACGGCCGACATGTTAAATATGCTGAGATGGATTGCCTTTTAAGATTTCCTTTAGTGTACATAACACAGTATTTTGAATAATGCTGAAAAATGGCCCTCCTTTTTAAAATATGTATGTTTTTATTGATTAGAGAGAGAGGGAGAGATAGAAACATAGATCGGCTGCCTCCTGCACGCCCCCTACTGGAGAGCAAGCCCACAACCCGGGCATGTGCCCTGACCAGAAATCAAACTGGGACCTTTCAGTCCATGGGACAACACTCAATCCACTGAGCCACACTGGACAGGCAAAAATGGCCCTCCTTTGATGTCAGATTGAATTCTGATCAACAGGCAATATCGATACATATGTGAAAATTAGCCATAATTCCATTGTTTATATGCAAATTTCATTGTCCTCAAAATGTCTTTTATAGCTTGTTTTTTCCTTTTCTTTTAAGCCAATAACGTTTCATGAGTTGCTTTTGGTTGTCTCTTTGGTGTTTTGGGGGGTCCAGAGATGGGTGCAGGTGTAACTCTGCTGGGCCAAGCATTGTGTAGCACCACAGATGCATCGCCTGGATCCGACGGGACCTCGGGAAGGCTAACTGTTCCCTGGCATGGAAGACATGCCTGGGCTGGAGGAGATGACTCAGTCATTCCCAAGGGCCGTTAAATGGTATGAATATTCAGCACTTTCCTCTTTCATGTTAGGACAGACAGAAAATAATACTATTTCCATAGCACCCCGGGGTAAAGAGAAGGGGCTCCCCCTGCCTAGGATCCCCCAGTGCTGAGGAGTGGGGGGCCTCCATCTGTACACCTTGGAAACCTTGGGACCAAAGGTGTGGCAAACATGGTTTGTGCGCTTCTTTATGCCCCAGGGTATTCTGTTTCCACACCCATCCCTTTAGGGAACCTGGTGTGTTTCTTCCTCAGGAGAGCCCAGACCAAGCCTCACTCCATCCCGTTCAGCACCACGTGCACACCAACCTGGAGAAACAGACAGAGGTGGCCTTTCCGCGTGATTTATTCAGTCCACGAGCTACACGAGGGCGATAAACAAATTCATTGGAGTTTCAGGGGAGGCATAAAGGGGAGGAGTGGAAGGGTGGGATTTAAACAGAACATAATCTTATAAATGGTTAGATAGAAGATTTACAAATATCCATTGAAAAAATAGATCCCTCTGAGGGTGACAGATGGAGATCACGCATCGTCAGGAATACAACACATTAGCAACTTCTGCTCACTGGAGTCCCCAAAACTGAAGTCTGCAAAAATGGCTTGCATTTCAGACTGTCAGGATTTGCAGGTACTTATGTGATACATATTTTTCAATGCAGAAAAATAAAGAGTAACGCTGAGTAACAGATTAATGCAATGCAGAGGAAAACAGTGCGTGAAAATAGCTATCATCTGGTAGCAAAAATAGACTTATGCCAGTGTTAATATCAAAATTAAAGACATTCAAATAAAGTATACCAATACATTGGAACTATTACTCCCAAGATCAGAACAACTTCTTATTGCTCCTGCGCATAACTTGAAGGTCTGAGGAAATCCTGTGACAGCCGGAAGGCATATGTCATTTCAGAATGTGCAGGTGACCTATGACAAAGTTCAACAGCCAAACAAAAACTTTGTAGTTTATTATTTTTCTTTTACGGTGGACATTGCTAATAGTAGAACAAGACCGCTCATCACAAATCTGGAAAATACAGGTGAAGGACAGGGCTCCAAGCCCAAGCTCGTGACCTATGGGAGGTAATTAAAGAACGAGAGAGGCAGCAGCCTAAATGAAGAAAACAGTTGAAGCATCGGTGTGTGCATTTCTCTCCCGGAGAGTCCCTCAGGAGGGCATTCTGGGGGCTTGCTAACTGGACTGCTGTCCTGAGGTGACTCTTTAATTAGTACCAGAGCCAGCCTGGCTCCGGGGAGTGAACTAACCGCACTGAGGGTTCGTTAATTCGTTTGACCCCGGGAAATACCCTCCCCGGCTCTGGGGCCTGGGGCCGACAGCGGGCAGCTGGGGGCTGCACTGCAGGCTCCTCCCCAGCTGGGTCTGAGTGGCGCCCACCCGCTCAGGGGGTCAGTGGCAGCCGCAGACCAGTGACGTGCCAAGTGGTGGACCACGAAGCCCCACTTCCGAGAATATCTGTGCACTTCACCATGGAGTGGGGATGGAGCCATCAGGAATAAAATGCAGGTTATAGGACAAGTGTCTCAGATGGTACAGAGATTGGCATTATTTAATCAGGAGATTCAAAGTCCAGAAAACTAGATTTTTACCTCAATTCTGCCCAAACAATGCCATGTTTCTCTTTTATCTTCAAAACATGCAATGCCACCGAGCTACGGATGAGGTGGGAAAGTGCTTTTGAGAAGAGGGACTGAAGGGAAAAAAGAAGCCACTTCCCCTCAAGGCAGTTTTAAGATGACATCAGCTACACCCCAAGCTGTTCACCTGTCAGCAAAGCCCGTTAGAGATGTTGGTACTGACTAGTGGATTTAAAAATCTGCATGCAGTTCTGTATCATATTTTACCCCCCCACCCCACCTCAAATAAGATGACTACAAAGAGATTTGGTCCATTTATCCTTGTCATTCCAAAATAAAACATAATATCTATTGAAGTAACAGCATTGAGACCAAGAATTTCCAAACCCTGCAGGACACAGCTACATCTGTTCAGGGTGCACACTTTGCTTTTGTTTTTTTTAACCAGCTTCTGGAACAAGCCTCTTTAATAGTCAACATTACTAAAATCCTACATTTACCTTCACACCGTGAAAACCAGATTTGTTTTCCCCCTGAGTACCCTGAAGTCTACAGCCGGGTCCTTCCCATCTGGGAGCAGCATTTGGATCCACGCTTGAGAAGAACAGAACAAAGCACACACCAACGACTCTGACCGGGTCACTGCACTGCTCAGAGATGGAAATGCTGTCCACGCGCGCTCATCTCGACATCTCGATGAGATGGAAGGGATGGATGCAATTTAATGAGTCGTTTATTGTTTCTAAAATGCTAGCCCCTTGCAGATTGCTCTCCATTTTGAAAATGTAACACTGTCCAACTGGTTATTTGGTGTGACACTTAAAAAATCATGCGTTCTCTTTTCTGTGGTTTATTCTACTTTTTATTCATCATACGCGACATGCTTTGAAGTGACTTAAATCGCTAAAAAAAAAAATGTTTTCGGGAGAAGTCTTTCTTACTACGCCACTTTACTTCATACTCCATAGAATTATTATAGACATTAGCGTAAAAGGCTTTAAAATTAGGCTTTGGTTTTACTGTAATCTGGGCAGAAGTTGGAATTGCTTTGATCATACAATTGAACTCCTGCATGAATTCTATTCTTTGTCATTTGAAAGGACTCATTTACAGAGACAAAGTCTCCCCTTCCGGTAGTTATGATCTGCATTTTCAAGGCTGCTGCCAAACTCGCCACAGAGGGGCACGGCGGGGCGAGGAGCGAGGGCGCAGGGCCAAGCGGCGCGGCCCAGAGCATCCGTTCTGTGCGTTTGTAAGGCAGATGGCCCAACTCTTTACAGGAGATCAGGAACTCGGCGCTCATTAAGAGGTAGAAAATACCCAAACAGCATTTTAAAACAATCAATTATCCTGCTAACCTGTTACCAAGTCAGGCTGCGGTGTGGAATGTGCGGGACGTTGGACACTAACCCGGGCCACTCCACACTCCACAGAGATGTGGTCACACAGGGCAGGAAGCCAGGGGAGGAGGAAGCAGAAAATAGTTTCTTAACTCATCAAGGATTCAGCTCCCACTACGGAGAGATTTCCGACAGCCTCTCTGGGATTTCATTCTGACATTTAATTAGTGGGGATTTCTCGGGTTAACAACAACTTCTCTGAGTTACAGGATAATTCTGCATAGAAGGCATTAAAAGTCTAGGCAGGGATGAGCTCAAATGCTTCTTCAAGAAGCATCTTCTATAAAAACACACATTTCACTAAACGTATACCCTCCTCTCAACCACCAAAATGCAAATGCAAATATTCTTTGGACTCCAGCACCAGCAGGATTGCTCGGGAGGAGCAAGTCAAGAGCTGTCTGAGGCAGAGAGAGATTGAGTCACCAAATTCAACTTGGGCAGCTTCCCGGGGGTGAGTAAGCCCGGCCACTCTTCTTCCTTAGCGTCTGGGAGGCATGCATTGTTCTTTCTCCGACATCACTTCATAAGGCATAAATTTAATTTGAATTTTCCTAACCTTTGGAAAATTAGTGTTAAAGCTTCTTTTGCAACCCACACACTAACATTCAATCTTTCATTTTTATTAAATACTTTATATATATAAAAAAAGAAATATCAAGGTGTTCTACATTCATATAAACAATCATGATAACATTTGAAATTGTAAAGAACTCTACTGAAGAAAATATATACTTGAGTACTTACAAGACTAAGCTAAGCACAGTGATCATTCTAGATAATAGTTCCTAAGTATACAGACACAGGTGTGTGGCTTTGGAAAGCCCACGCAGGAGAAGTACTAGAACGGATCGCTCTTCTTCCCCTTTTCACCACAAGACAGGATGGTCCAGTTTGGAGAAACCAAGATCTTTCCTCATTTCCAAATAGGTGCCATTGCTCACCCAAGAATCGTCACTGGATTTCCTGTGGGAGATGGAAGGAAATCTTGAAGGCTCTTGAAATCCTGTCCTGTCAACCCCCCCCCCCCTTCCTCCCCCAGCCCCCGCTCTCCTTCTCACATGCAGGCCCCGCCCCTGACAGTCCTGCGCTGGAGCTGCGAGGACTCTGGATGCCAGGCAACCTTTTCCTTATTTCTGACTTCGACTTCTCCCACTGGGAGGCCATCAAACATGGTGCTTTTTCGAGATGACAGCCACCTGCTCATGCATGACTGTGTAAAAACTAAATTGACCAGGTTGTTCATATCAGGTGGTAAGTTAATGTTAAAAAAAAAAAAAGGAACAGGGAGCCATCACGGTCTGGAGAAAATTGCCTCTGTTCACTGGTTTTTGGCTCAATAATATATTACGTACATCAAAATTCAAAAGATGCAAAAGGGTGAATAGCTGAAGTTGTTTTCCTACTCCTATCTCCCAGTTCTCGCCAGAGGCAACAGTCTTATCAGCTTCATTCTTTCAGAGAAATGCCATGCATGCACGAACATGTGCACACACACACACACACACACACACACACACACTCCACCCCTCCCCTTTTTCACACAACGCTAGCCCTGTGTGGTATCCTATCCCTTTAGTTTTTGGCGTAACAATATATACTGGAGATCATTTTCCATTGTCACGATAAAGTCAGCAAACTACGGCCCAAAGCCCAGTTCCAGCCTCCTGCTGGTCTCTGTAGTGTGTTTGACTGGACACAGCCATGCCCACCCGTTCAAGTGCCGTCTGCAGCTGATCTCGTGATGCAGAGTGGGTTGAATCATCACTGCTGAGCCCTCGTGGCCTGCAAAGCCAACGATATTTACCATTTGCCCTTTACAGAAAAAGTCTGGTGACCCGGCAATGAGAGATTCCTCATTTTTTAAAAAGAGTTACATCATATTCCATCGTAGGGATGGACTGCAGTTTAACAGGCACCCTACTGGTGGGCATTTAGGAGGTTGTTTTCAATCTCTAGTGATGATAAACATGTTTATAATCATATAATAAACACATAACATGCCATCTTCTATGTACATGAGTAGTTACATTAAAAATTCCTGTAAGTTGAGCTGCTGAGTCAGAGTGTATATGTAATTTTGACGGGTATTGTCATCTGTTTTAGACGCAAAAGTAGAGAGTGTTTTCCACTCTCAGGAACCCAGACCCCAACACTTGCTTCCCTGTTCTGATGAAGGGACGTGTTTACAATGAGCCAGTCTGTGTATCGGATCATTTACTACGAAACAAAGAGGCTCCATTCTGCCCAAGCTCCAGTTTGCACTTGAAATCCCAGTGATGTCTTCACTGTTCCCCAGCGAGTGTGATGTCTTCACTGTTCCCCAAGGCCTACATTCCTGTCGTCCCCTCACCAGGATCACTGCTGCTGACGAACTCGTGCCCCTCCCCCCGCTTCTTATTTGTCACATCCAATACTCTGACAATTCCACAGACAATCAAGCGGAAAAGGCCACAGCCACGCGGCCACAGCTGTGCTCAGTCCTCTGCCATTGCAGACAGAATTCTCAGCTCGAGGACAACTGGACAACATGTTAGAGCCTGCATTTAGATGTTCATTTGCTTCCCATAGGGCTCCACAGACTTTGTCAAGTCATTTTGGATGCTTTCACCTTAGATCAAGTTGATGAATCTCCTTACCTCGTTCTTGGGCCAGTTTAGTTACTCGCAATGTTTAATGATTCTGAAAAATGCTGTGGTGAACATCTTTTTAAATTTTTTCTGTTTTTTTTTTTTTAATCCTCACTTGAGGACACTTTTTGCATACATAGAGTGAGAGGGAGAGAGGGACGAAGAGAGAGAGAAACATCGATGTAAGAAAGACACATCGACTAGCCACCACCCACAAAACCCCAACCGGGGCCGGGGACAAACTGCAACCGAGGTACATGCCCTTAGCAGGAACTGAACCCAGGACTCTCCGGACTGCAGGCTGACACTCTAACCGCTGAGCCAAACCGGCCAGGGCTGTAGTGAACATTTTTATAAATGCAGATTCTCCTTGTTTAAAAATGACACTAGATGATTTATGAAAAAAGAAAAAAAGAATTGACCTACTTAAGGGTATATCTATGTATCTATCCATTGCTCAGTCTATTAATCTACACATTTACCTATCCCTTGCCTTTCTTCAAAAACACAATGTAACATTTTATTTTAAAAATATTTATATGAAGCTATGGATATCTTGGGATGAAACTCTGGCCAGTTAATCTTTAATCGCTCACATCCTGAGTTTGTGAAAATGATCAGAAGAAGTCTGGCAAGATCCATATCAACTTTATAGGAAAAAACACTGTGTCTGGGGGATAAACATTACTTATTGCTATTTAGCTGTTTTGGAATATGTACTTTATTGCTTCTGTGATAGGTTAGTAACTAATTCCTCCTAAAAGTGTTTTGCTGCCCATTAAAAACAATGTCAACAACAACAACAACAACAAAATCCACCCAAACAGCAAAAAACCCTGGTTGCCCTGCAAGCACGACGCGGTGGGAGGGCAGGAGCCTGTGGCTTTCCACACCTGCCTGCTTCAATATATTTTTTTAATGTGTATTGATTTTAGAGAGATAGGAAGGGGGAGAGAGAGAGAGAGAGAGAAACATCCATCAGCTGCCACCTACACGCCCCCTACCAGAAATTGAGCCTACAACCTGGCACGTGCCTGGACCAGGAATTGAACTGGTGACCTATTGGTGCATGAGATGACGCTCAACCAACTGAGCCACTCCGGCCAGGCTTAATGTTGATTTAAGAAAAAAGAATAACAGTTTCCAAAATGGTGATGGAGTGAATGGAAGCTACACAGACCATCTCCCAGGACCAAACGGGAATTACAACTAAAATAAAGACAAATCATTGGGAAAAAGAAACAGAAAAGCAGCTTGTGAGGACCATATAACCAGGGACACTGACTTGACCCTGGTAGGATTGCGGAGGCACAAAAACGGGGCTGGGAGCCCATGGACAGCAGTGGTCTTAGCTGTGAGCAGCGCCCGGGGCAGTTAACCTCCCAAGCAGCTCCACAGCACAGAGGGCTGGGACAGAGCGCTAAAATAGCCACAGCCACTCACCTTGGGCTCTGGTAGAGGGAGGGCAGACTGGACTGCGGACACTCGGGATTTGGAGGGTGCTCAGAGCTTTTGCTGAGTAGCAGCCACGCAGGACAGTGGCCATCTTACTCCTTCCCAGGGCTCTGGGGAGAGGCGGTGGCCCCTCCCACTAAGATTGAACCCCACACAGGTGGGCCATTAAAATGCAAATTGAGACTCATTAACAACCAGCATCTGCCCCACCCTCGAGAAATCCCCTATTGCTGAGCACCTGAGGGAGTTTTCCATTCAATTGAGAACCCAAGGATCTTCAAGCAACTGCAACTAATAGCCACCAGGCAAAAAGCCAGAGGATAACTGAACCATTCCTGGGCTTGCAACTCTGCCCAGGAGAGTAAGATTTGACAGTGGTGTTTAATGTGGTTCCTCCTACGCTCATCCAAACCCAGTAGAGGGAGCCACAAACAGCAGAACACCAACACTCACAGGGAAAATTTGACAGGCTCCAAAACCCACTGAGATAGTCAAAATGGTGAAACAAAGAAACAAATCCCAAATGAAAGAACAAGAGACATCTACCGAAGATGAGATAAATAAAATGCAGTTAAGCAAGTTAACAGAGCTAGAATTCAGAGCCAGGATCTTGAGGAAGCTCAACAGCATGAGTAAGGACATCAACACCATGAGTAAAGACATAGAAACATTGAAAATCAACCAATTGGAAATGAAAAACCACCAAGAAGAAATGAAGAATGACATAGCAGAAATATGGAACACATTGGAAGGACTAAACAGCATAATAGAAGCAGCTGAGGACCAAATCAGTGAATTAGAAGACAGGGTAGAAAAAAAAAATCAACCAATCAGAAAACCAAAAGAAAAAAAACAATTAAAAAACAGGAAGACAGCTTAAGAGAACTGTGGGACAACTGGGAACGTAATAATATCCACATCATAGGAGTCCCCAAAGAAGAAAATGAGCAAGGGTTAGAGAATAGATTTGAAGAAATAGTGACAGAAAACTTTCCTAATTTGGTGAAGGAAGAAGGCATTCAAGTTCAAGAAGCACAGAGAGTCCCAAACAAGAAGAACCCAAACAGGCCCACACCAAGACACATAGTAATTGAAATGCCAAAAATTGAAGACAAAGAGAGAATCCTAAAGGCAGCAAAAGATAAGCAACAGGTTACCTACGAAGGAATCCCCATAAGGCTATTAGTTGACTTCTCAACAGAAACACCACAGGCCAGAAGAGAATGGCATGAAGTAATCAAGGTCATGAAAAACAAGGATCTGAATCCAAGACTACTCTACCCAGCAAGGCTATCAGTCAAAATAGAAGGTCAAATAAAGAGCTTCCCAGAAAAAAAAAGAAAAAAAAAAGGCTAAGGAAATACATTAGCAACAAACCAGAACTGCAAGAAATGTTAAAAGGACTGCTGCAATTAGTAGAAGAAATAGAAAGAAAAATATAACCACATTTAACAAAAATGGCAATAAATAACTACATATCAATAATCACCTTAAATGTAAATGGATTGAATGCTCCAATAAAGAGACACATAGTAGGTGATTAGATAAGAAAGCATGACTCACATATATGTTGTTTACAAGAGACCCATCTCACAACAAAAGACTCACATAAGTTAAAAGTGAAGGGATGAAAACAAATCTTTCAAGCAAACAAAAAGGAAAAAAAAGCTGGGGTAGCAATACTCATATCTGATAAAATAGACTTCAAAATGAAGGCCATAACTAGAGACAAAGAAGGCCACTACATAATATTGAAAGGATCTATCCAACAGGAAGATATAACCTTGGTAAACATATATGCACCCAATATAGGAGCACCAAAATATATTAAAAATCTTCTGGAGGACTTCAAAGGAGAAATAGACAGCAATATAATCATAGCGGGGGACTTCAACACCCCACTGACATCACTGGATAGATCCTCTAGACAAAAAATTAGCAAGGAAACACAGACTCTAAATGAAGCACTAGACTAAATGGATTTAATAGATACCTACAGAGAATTACCCCCCACCCCAAACTACAGAATTCACATTCTTCTCAAGTGCACATAGGACATTCTCAAAGATACACCACATGTTAGGACACAAACGAAGTCTCTACAAGTTCAAGAAGACTGAAATCATATCAAGCATTTTCTCAGATCACAATGGCATGCAACTGGAAATCAACTGCAACAAGAACATGCAAAGGCATTTGAACACATGGAGGCTAAATAACATGTTATTAAACAATGAATGGGTTACCAAAAAGATCAAGGAAAAAATTAAAAAGTTCCTGGAAACCAATGAAAATGAACACACAACAATATAAAATCTATGGGATGCAACAAAAGCAGTTCTGAGAGGGAACTTCATAGCACTACAGACCTACCTCAAGAAACAAGAAAAATCTCTAATAGACTATCTGACCTCACAACTTAAAGAACTAGAAAGCAAAAAACAAAAAAAGAAGAAGAAAACCCCAGAGCAAGTAGAAGAAAGAACATAGCAAAGATCAGAGCAGAAATAAATGACATGGAGACCAAAAAAACAAAACAACAACAACAACAACAACAAAAAACAATTTAAAGGATCAATGAAACAAAGAGCTGATTTTTCGAAAAGATAAACAAGATTGATGAACCCTTAGCTAGACTCACCAAGAAACAAAGAGAGAGAACCCAAATACACAAAATCAGAAATGAAAGAGGAGAAGTAACAACTGACACCACAGAAATACAAAGGATCCTTAACAAATACAATGAATAATTATATGGCAACAAATTCGACAGTCTAAGCGAAATGGACAAATTTCTAGAAACACATAGTCTCCCAAAACTGGACTGGGAAGAGATAGAAAACTTGAACAGACCAATAACAACTAAGGAAATTGAAGAGGTAATCAAGACTCTCCCAGCAAACGAAAGCCCAGGCCCAGTTGGCTTCACAGGGGAGTTTTACCGAACATTCAAAGAAGAACTAACACATATTCTCTTCAAAATTTTTCAAAAAATTCAAGAAGAAGGAAGACTACTAAACTCGTTTTATGAGGCCAGCTTAATTCTAATTCCAAAACCAGATAAAGACACTACAAAGAAAGAAAACTACAGGCCAATATCCCTGATGAACATAGACACCAAAATCCTGAACAAAACACTAGCAAATCAGATCCAGCAATACATCAAAAACATTATTCACCATGACCAAGTGGGATTCATCCCAGGGATGCAAGGCTGGTACAATATTCACAAATTAATAAATGTGATATACCACATAAACAAAATGGAGAATAAAAACCACATGATCATAGCAATAGATGCTGAAAAAGCATTCGACAAAATCCAGCATCCATTTCTGATAAAAACTCTCAGCAATGTGGGAATAGAGAAATTGTATCTCGATATAATAAAGGCCATATATGAAAGACCTACAGCCAACATCATACTCAATGGGTAAAAACTAAAAGCATTTCCTTTAAGAACAGGAACAAGACAGGGATATCCACTTTTGCCACTCTTATTTAACATAGTACTGGAAGTCTTAGCCACAGCAATCAGACATGAAAAACTAAAATAAAAGGGATCCAAATTGGAAAGGAGGAAGTGAAACTGTCATCATTCGTAGATGATATAATATTATACATAGAAAACCCTAAAGACTCCATCAAAAATCTACTAGAGTTAATAAATAAATTTTGCAAAGTAGCAGGATACAAAATTAATGTCAAGAAATCGATGGCATTCTTATACACCAATGATGAACTCCCAGAAAGAGAAACTAAAAAACAATTCCATTTACCATTGTGGCAAAAAAGTTAAGATAGCTAGGAATAAACTTAACCAAAGAAGTAAAGGACCTATTTGCAGAAAACTACAGGACATTGAAAAAAGAAATAGAGGAAGATATAAAAAAGTGGAAGCATATACCTTGTTTACGGATTAGAAGAATTAACATCATTAAAATGTCCATATTACCCAACGCAATCTATAGATTTAATACAATCTCCATCAAAATACCAACAACATATTTCACAGAACTAGAACAAATACTCCAAAAGTTTATATAGAACCAAAAAAGACCCCGAATAGCCACAGCAATCTTGAAAAAGAAGAACAAAGTAGGAGGGATCACAATACCAGATATCAGGTAATACTACAAAGCCACTGTAATCAAAACATCCTGGTACTGGCACAAGAACAGGCATATAGATCAATGGAACAGAACAGAGAACCCAGACATTGACCTAAGACAATATGCTCAATTAATATTTGACAAAGGTGGCAAGAACATACAGTGGAGTCAAGAGAGCATCTTTAATAAATTGTGTTGGGAAAATTAGACAGCTCCATGCAAATATAATGAAGCTAGACCACCAACTTACACCCTACACAAGAATAAACTCAAAATGGATAAAAGAATTAAATGTGACCTGTGAATCCATAAAAATCCTAGAATAAAATGTAGGCAACAAAATTTTGGACATCATACGTAGCAGAATTTTCACTGATACATCACCTAAGGCAACAGAAACAAAGAAAAAAATGAACACATGGAACTACATCAAATTAAACATCTTCTGCACAGCAAAAGAAACAACCATCAAAATGGAAAGAGAACCCACTGTATGGGAGAGCATAATGGCCAATGATACATCAGATAAGGGGCTAATTTCCAAAATATATAGAGTACTCATACAGCTCAACAAAAGGAAAACAAAGAACCCAATTGAAAAATGGGCAGGGGAACTAAATAGACACATCTCCAAACAGGACATACAAATGGCCAAGAGACATATGAAGAAATGCTCAACATCACTAATCATCAGAGAGATGCAAATTAAAACAACTATGAGATATATCACCTCACACCTATCAGAATAGCTGCCATCAACAAATCATCAAACAACAAGTGTTGGCGAGGGTTGGAGAAAAGGGGACTCTAGTACACTGCTGGTGAGAATGTAGACTGGTGCAGCCCCTATGGAAAACACTATGGTGTTACCTCAAAAAATTAAAAATTAAAAATTGGTTTGGCTCAGCAGTTAGAGCGTCGGCCTGCGGTCCGGAGAGACCCGGGTTCAGTTTCCGCTAAGGGCATGTACCTCGGTTGCAGTTTGTCCCCAGCCCTGGTTGGTCGTGCGAGTGGCAGCCACTGGATGTGTCCCTTTCACGTCGATGTTTCTCTCTCTCTCTCTCTTCCTCTCTCTCCCTCCCACTCTATCTATACAAAAAATGGAAAAATGTCCTCGGGTGAGGATAAAAAAAAAAAATTAAAAATTGAATTGCCATTTGACCCAGTGATCCCACTTCTAGGAATATTTCCAAGAAGACTGAAACGCCAATCAGAAAGAATATATGTACCCCCATGTTCATAGCAGCACTATTTACAATAGCTAAGATCTGGAAACAGCCCAAGTGTACATCAGTAGACCAATGGATAAAAAGGCTGTGGTACATATACACAATGAAGTACTATGCAGCTGTAAGAAAGAAAGATCTCTTATCCTTTGAGACGACATGGAGAGACCTAGAAAGTATTAACCTAAGTGAAACAAGCCAAGCAGAAAAAGACAAATACCACATGATCTCACTTATATACAGAATATAATGAACATATCAGTCTGAGGAATATGGTAGACCCAGAGACATGGAAGTAGGGCACAGACTGACAACCCTCAGAAGAGGGGGTGGGGAGAGGGAAGAGATAAACCACAGAACTTATATGCATGCATGCATAACCGATGGACACGAACAACAAAGCTGGGGATGGGGTGAGGGGGATGGGGAGGAGGGTGTCAATGGGGAAAAGAAAAAGAAACATCTGTAACAAAAATAAATTAATAATAATAATAAAAAAGAATAAATAACAAATCCCCTAAAACCGTACAGAGCCCTGGCCTGGTAGAGCCAGACAGACCCCAGTCTAGGACATTCCCCAGGGTCCTTCCACAGATCCCTCTGTTCCCTGGTCTTGGTTTCTTCTCAGTTAAAATAAAAGAAGGAGTGAGGGTTGATGATTTCTGATGCCCCCTCTACTGCTTTACATCTGTTTTTAACAAGACCTTCTTGGCAAGTTGTTTTAAAATGAATAGTACATGTTTCAAATCCAAGCCGAAGTGTGTCGGAACTTCTGCAATTTAGACTACTTGGACTTTCCATTTTGGTAACCAGTGGGGTGATCACTAACGATCTCTGTTGCTGTGTAAAATATACCTAGGAGGTGACCAGGCTCAGACATGATCTAACAAGCCGGGCGGTCTGGCTGCTTCTCCCACAAGCACTTACTGAGCACGTCCTGTGCAGATGCACTGGGCTCCATGCTGAGAGGCAGCTGGGACAGAGCAAGGCAGCAAAGAAGACACTACTGCTGGGAAGGGCAGAGGACTCAGCAGCCCAGAGCCAAGTGTCATAGAAGGTTGGGCCCTCACGCAGAGGGAGGGGTCACCACTCTGAAGGTGGGAAAACATCCAGAATGCTCTTGTTTGGGGAGGGGACAGCCCTGTTCACTCTCTTCATACCAGAAGCACAGTGTCGCCAGTACCCATCAACCAACAATGCGCAGGCTCCCGGCACACACCTGAAAAACCGAGGCTGGTGTTCCATGTTATTTTCCTCTAAGACCCGCCGCCTGTCTCTCTGCATCTGTTCAATCCTCTGTTTTTGTATTTCAGCTTCTTCTATGTTCCCTTCTTCTAGAAACCTGAGGCGTCGAGGAAAAAAAATAAAAGAGCCTGAATTTCTTAGAAATATAACAGTCATTACCACTGAAGTTGCATGTGTCCAACCAGATAGTCCAAACCCTTTCTGAGACATATGACCCCTCTCCAATCCTTAGAACAGTATTTTGAGGTAGTTAGGAAGGATATTGTTTTTTACATTGGTGATCTACACACGGTTCAAAAATTATATCTAAGAAAAGTAATTTGGAAGAAAGTCTCCAAATTTCTACCTGTTTCCTGCCCACCCTGTCCACCTCCACTCCACCCCAGGTACTCACTGTTATGAGTTCCTAGTGCATTCTCCTAGAGATTCTTAACATGTATAAAGCAAACATGAATATTTTTCTAACCTCACCCTCCCTTTTGAAAGTATAAATGGTAGCATGCTACAATGCTGTCTATGCCGTGGTGTCTTGCTTTACTTTTTACTTAACAATACACGCATGTCTTGGAGATCTTTCTTGGTAGTGCACAGACATATTCATTTTTTAATAGCGGTATAATATTGAATTGTGTGGATATACTTAAATTTATTTAAACAATTTCCTACTGATAAATCCTTGGAATGTTCTCAATTTTTTATTATTACAATTAATGCTGTGATAGAATGACCATGTATATCTGTCATTTTGCATGTGGGTTAGTGTACCTGTAATGAGAAATTTCTAGAAGTGAAATTGTTGGGTTAAAGGATAAATTGCTGGGTTAAAGGGTAAGTATACACACACACACACACACGGATTACATAATTTATATTGCCACCAGCAATGTTACGAGATTGCCTTTTCCCAACAGCCTCAGAGTACAGCACACTTTTCCGTCTTTGCCTTCTGATAGGTTAAGAAATGGTAGGTATGTCAATGTGGTTTTAAAAACGTGCATTTCTTTGAGTGAGATGGAGATCGTTACACATTTAAGGGACATCTGATCTGCACTTCTTATTTTGGGACCTATTCATTTTCTTATGTCCATTTTTTTAATGCGTTGATCTTAATTTCTAGAACAAATTCATATTTCTAGAACCAATTCATGAAATGAGTTGCAAACAGAGATTTATCTTTTGACTGCGGGTATGTATTTTATTTACTTTGCCATGAAGACGAGTATTATTGTGTTGGTTTGTTTCTTTTTTTTTTAATAAAGTTAAATTTCACCCTTTTTTTTCCTTCTGGGTTTTGGGTCTTGATGAGAAAGGCCTTAGCGGAGAGAGAATTCTTTCCATTTAACAGAGTAGGAAACAGGCTGAGAAAGATGAAAAGACTTACACATCCCACCTCTCTCAGGCTCCTCTGGGGCCTGAAATAAGGGCTTTTATCAAAACACGTTACATCTCTGGAGACAAAGATGGACAAAAAGTCCTTACCTTTGGTCTGGCCTAAATCGAGTGTCAGTAGGAGGTAATACAGTCTTCAACAACGGATCCATTTCATTCAATTCTAGTGCAAACTGGGTGAAGCCGTAATATTGTTCATAGCTTTTCGGCATGGGATCTACAAGGAAAAGAGAGCCTTCATCCCTCACTAGCATTTAAGTTATATTATATTTTAACTCCTTCACCTTTTTCACTCAGACCAGCTACAATTTTTCTCTCTCAGCTCTGAACTCTTCCATTTCTATTGAAATATTCTGGCCAATTGCCCTGGCTGGTTTGGCTCAGCGGTTAGAACGTCGGCCCGTGGACCAAAGAGTCGTGGGTTTGATTCTGGTCAAGGGCACGTACCTCTGTTGTGGTTTGTCCCTGGCCCTGGTCCACCTTGGAGGCAACCAGTCGTTTCTCTCACATCAATATTTCTCTCTCTCTCCCTCTCTTCCTTTCTCTCCCTCCCACTTTATCTGAACAAAAATGGAAAAATATCCTCGGGTGAGATTAAAAATAACTAACTAACTAAATAAAATATTCTGGTTAACAAAGAGGGGCTGAATATTTCCCTATAAATTTTTTTCTCTATTAAGTTTTTCTTCTACCTATTGAAAGGGTTAATAATGTTTTAACAGAATTAAACTCCATTCTGACCAGTTATTCCTGCACATAAACACCCGAGCAGTTTTCTAAAAAACCTGGGACTGACACCCAGAGGAACCATAAGGATAAGGGGTAATGATGGCCTTGGGAAACTTGAAAGGACCATAAAAAAGAAGGAGATTAAGGATGGCCCAGACCTCTGCTGGAGCAGGCTCCTTACCTCTGAGACAGCTTGTATCAGCCCCAGCACCAATTATGTGGTGCCAAGAGAATGTGGGTTTTTTTTAATGTAGTTTTTTTTTTTTTTCAGTTTCTGTAGTTTGGGCCTATATAAACCAGAGAACAAAGAGATTTCGAGGCTGGACTCTTTTAAGGAGTCAGCCCGCCTGCACCCAGGCACATGCAATAAGGCCATTTGGCTCTACACTGGCCTTGCGTTGTGGGTGTGATCTCCACCGGCTCAGACCTTTTACCTATAAGGATAAGGCCTCCTCTGTATGGTCACATAGCAAATTTATAAAACACAGAATTGCCTATACTGTTTAAGCTATAAAAATAATGTTACTAAAATAAACATGCTAAAAAGGACTCTAGGTCCATTTTTTCTGACTAACAAGACTGTCACCCTAGAGAATCTATTGTGTATTTAATCCTCACCCAAGGACATGCTGAGAGAGAGAGGTGAGACACACATCAATTGATTGCCTTGTGTACATGCACGACCGAGGATTGAACCTGAAACCTAGGTGTGTGCCCCGACCGGGAATCAAACCGGCAACCCTTCGGTGCACAGGATGACACTCAACCAACTGAGCTACTCCAGCCGGGCTAGAGAATTCATTTTTCATTTGAGAGACGTCAAATTCTCCTAAAACTCTGTCTACTGGCTAAAATAGCATTGAAACCCTAGCAAGTGGTCAATAAATGTTATTCTTTCTTCCATACCTGCCCTTCTTTTCACCAACTCTCGCCCCTCCCAAATCTTACATATTTTAATTTAAAACCATCTGGCCTGGCCGGTGTGGCTCAGTGGATTGAGCATCCCATGGACTGAGAGGTCCTGGTTCGATTCCCAGTCAGGGCACATGCCTGGGCTGCGGGCTCCATCCCCAGGAGGGGGGCGTGCAGGGGGCAGCCAACTGATGTTTCTCTCTCTCCCTTCTTCTCTCTCTAAAAAGTCAATAAAAATCAATTAAAACAAAACAAAACATCTCAGCAGGAGCCAGGCATACAGATGAATTACACTGGGACAGAGACGACGAGACAGAAAGGAGAAAGCTGATTACTGGCATTCTACAGGCTGGGACCATGGAGCCTCCAGCGGCTCCTGTGCTTTCCTTCACGAAGAGTGACTCAGAGGTCCCGGGCTGCCACTCCCATGACAGGCCCAGACATGGGCCCGGGGGGCAAGGCTGCCTCCTCCTTCCAAAGGGTGAGGCCCCTGCGGCAGCTTCCACATGCCAGGCGGCCACCACCCAGAGCCCTGGGGACCTTCGGGGCAAGGGAAAGCAGTGTGACCTGGGTGTTCTGCAGGAGTGAGGGGTCCCCCAGATTCGTCCGCACCACAAGGACTCTGACCGCTCCTGTTAGTCCACAGGGATGCTGAGCCCGTGAAGCAGCTGTGGAGGCTCTAGGGGCCCAGAGGGCTGGGCATTGAACCAAAAAGGATTATTCTGGACCCTTAAGATCTAATGACATCTTTCCTTGCTAACTGTGGGCTTGCTTGGGGCCTGTCACCCCTTCCTTCTTGCCCACGTCTCCCTTTCGGGATGTCTGGCCTATGTATCCCACCACTGTATTTTGGAAGCACATTTTGGTTTCATAAGCTCACAGCTGGACAAGGTGAACCACACCTCAAGTCTCACCCATACCTGATTTAGATGACATTGAGGTGAGACTTTGGACTTTGGAGTTGATGCTGAAATAACATAAGACTTTGAGTGGCTGTTGGAGTGGAACAGATTTTGCATGAATTTTGGAGGCCAGGGGCAGAACAGAATGTTACAGACTGAATGTATCCTCCCAAAGTTCATAGGTCGAAGCCCTCCCCCTCAGTGTGGCTGTATTTGGAGATGGGGCCTCGAAGGAAGTAATAAGGTTAAATGAGGTCAGAAGAGCGGGACCCCGATCTGGTGGCTGTCTGCAAGCCAGGGGGAGATCCCTCACCAGAACCCAAACTTGCCAGCACCTTGATCTCTGATTTCCCAGCTTCCCGAACTGTGAAAAAATAAATGCCTGTTGTTTAAAGCACCCAGTCTGTGGTATTTTTTAAAATATGTTTTTATTGATTTTTTAGAGAGAGATAGAAACATCGATGTGAGAGAGAAACATTGATCAGACACCTCCTGCACGCCCCCTACTGGGGATCAAGCTGGCCACCTGGGCATGTGCCCTGACCAGGAATTGAACCGGGACCTCAGTCCATGGGACTGTGCTCAACACACTGAGCCACACCGGCCGGGCTAGTTTGTGGTATTTTGTTATAGCAGCCCAAGCAGATTATGTCGGTGTAGTTCCCTAGTTTCAATTCCAGCTAAAAATATCCAAATGTACATATCGGGCAAATCCAATGTAGACTAATAAAACCACTTATAGCTTGAGTGTTAATTATTCACATGCACAAATACAAATGCTTTCCATGGACTTTTCTGCAGACTATCTTTTGAAGTTTCAGAAGTCCTTTTTGTCAAATTCTAGGTCTAATTCTCTGTGTATCCCAAGCATGAAAATCATATCAAAGCTTCCTAATGTGCCTTAAAAAATCTATCCCAGTCTCCATCCACCAGAGTGGAGAAGGTGGTTTTCCTTGGCGATGGGCCAGGGATGCTCATGACCAAGGAAGAGATATAAAGTTGGTGAATACCAGCCACCACAAGAACGACAGCTTACACAGTGTTCTTCGATCGAGGTTCTGCTCGATCCAGAGAGGATGGTAGCTCTGCTCTGTGACACATGCTGTAACACAGGAGAGCGAATGTTTCACTCGCAGAACCTCTAGTGTCCCCGGACCTCTGCAGCTAGGAAGGTGGCCACTGGTGCCGTCATTCCGACTGCGTGGCAACCGCGGTGGTGGAGGAGGTGGCAGCCACCCACGGTGCCCCCTCCACAGCCATCTCCCTTCCTTCCTGGCTGGTGAAAACTGCGCTGGTCAGGTGGCACTGTGTCCTCCCTGGGGGACGAACCGAAACCATCTGGCTCTCTCTTCTGCCTACCCAGTTGCCCAGGATAGGTGTGGGATGGGTTTGGACCTGCTTCTGGCTGATACATAAAGACACATTTGTTGGGGGACCCTAGCAAACACCTCATTCCTGAGAAAAGAGAGGCACAAGCAAAGAAAGCGCTTGGGTCCTCCCTTCTCCCTGCTTGCTGAGCTGTCACATGGGGTATGATACTGAATGGTGACATTTGCATCCACGAGGGAAACATCACTGTCATATTGGGAGTGACAGAAGGTGCCCTCACTGATCTGTGCTCTTGACACAGGTGAGCTGCCTCTCATCAACCCGGGGCCACCCACCCTCCCTTGTTACTAAGTATCAGCACATATCCTAATGGTTTAAGCCACTATTAGAATGGTTTTCTTGTTTTGTTTTGATCAGCCCCAAGCATCCTAATGGTGGTTTCTCAGAACAATGGTTTTATAATGTGACCATGACTGGGAAACATGTATCTATTCAAAAGATGAACTAAAGTTTTAAAATGTCCCGGGGACCGGTTATGAAAGTTTGGCTTCCCTAGAGCTCTCCACAGCTGCTTCTCGGGCTCAGCATCCCTGTGGACTAACAGGAGCGGTCAGAGTCCTTGTGGTGCGGATGAACCTGGGGGATCCCTCACTCCTGCAGAACACCCAGGTCACACTGCTTTCCCAGCAACGTTTCTCTTGTCCTGCTCTAGAATGACTTCCTGCACTTCAGATAGCCCTCTGTGCCCGGTACAGGCAGTGATGTGTGCTCACTGGAAGACGGAGTGACCAGGCATTAGCAATGGCTTCGTTCTGAGATTAAGAACCAAGGACCTCTCAGCCCCCAAGAGGTGATGTTGATAAACACGGGATGGGGCTGAGATATGATCAGGCGAACGAAAGCAGGACGAAAGCTCAAACACAGTTCAGCGCGGGCTGCAGACGCCGGGGAACACTGACGCCCACCCATCCGCAGCTCCTCTGGCCATGCCCCCACCCTTTGCCTGGGCTGACCCCCGATACTAACTCGCTCTCCAGACGCACGTGGAGGAGGACGCGCCACCGCAGTAGATGCTTTCGTGCCATTTCCCAAAGAGCCGGTGCACCGCTTTCCCGCTCTTGTCAAACACGGTGCCTTCGATCTCCCGGGCGTTAGTGCTCCAGTACTTTGCCTAGGATTCAGATGCGAATTGTCTGTTTAGTATTTTGGGGTTACCTTATCACAGATATTAAGAAGAAGGGGGAAAAAAGGAAAGAGAAAGAACCATAAGGTTAATTCTACATTGCATATAGTCTGCCAGTTCTGGATTCTTAGCTCTCTTGGTTTTTAAGTCACACTTTCAATTATTTAATAAAAATGATATTTTAATAAGAATAAAGCTAACACCTTATTTACAACAAAACAGCATTTGATACATTTGTGTGTGTAAGAGACTTTTCCCCCTACTTTTCTACGTGCAAAGCGAGAAGGAAAAGCTCAGTTCTTCCACATCAGCCAAACCGTGCGCGTGGCCCTACGCCCTCCTCTGGACAGCTGTTCCCTGGCTCTCACTGGGCTCTGACTGCTGCTATTTAAAAAAATGTAACTCATGTCATTTTTTCTCTAAAGGAACAAGACAGTCTACTTTTGTAAACCAATAAATGTGGCTGATGTGTAAACCAACAAATTTTCAGTTTTTACTATCATTTTCCCCCAATCTAGATCTTTTCCTCCAACCCACAGAACGTTACTTAACCCATGTTCACGTTCGGGTTGGTCCCGGTCTGAGGCCAGCTCAGCTCAGCATTGAGGGTTTTATACAGTACTACACCGTGCCCAGCAGAGGGAGCTCCAACTCCCTAGAGTTGATTTTTTTCAAATCTCCCAATTACCGGGCTGCCCTAAAAAAAATCTCTATGAAAAAAAGAGAAGGTATTACTCCATAAATAAATAATAATAAAAAAATCCTAGTACTATTTTCAGCCAAAACAGAATCCATATTTGGAAACCAATCAAGTTGAGTGTCGTTTTCAGGCCATAACCTGGTGGGTTGGCTTCCCCTTTCCAAGTCTGTGGTAAATAAGGGGGGAAGGGGGGAGTAGAGACCATCTCCAGCTGAATCAGAAAATTAAAAGTCAGTCATCACGTCATGTAAAAATGAGGGAAAAAAAAGATATAAATACTGTCCAGGCTCTTCAGTTTACTCCGAAGCAGGAGTCGGATTTTCTTCGTACAGATTTGGCCACCAAAGCCAACGCTGGCGATAGAGTGGGCGCCACAGAGGGAGGCCGACCTGTTCCACCGCGACGCCGGCACCTGCTCCCAACACCGCGGACCGAGCTCTAACTCTTCCCATCCTCACGGCTACAAAGATCTACTCTGCTCCTAAGTGGACAAGTGCTCACGTGGATGGCGGGCCTGGGAGCCGAGCACATTTCCTCGGGGAAAATGTGAGAACCAGGTGGCGCTCACCCGGAGCAGGGGTGCATAGATGCCTGCTCTCGGCTGCTGCTTTTGCAGAGAGCTTAGACGAAGCTTTCAAGGTAGGGTCACTTTTATTTTACGCCAAATCACTACTCGCATTATGTACGACTTACAGGGTATAAGACCCCATCCACCTCCCCATAATGTCCCCCACCAGGTGGTGCAGAGAGGCACCCCATGCAATTCCACAATTAGGACCTAATATCATGGCTTAGGATTTTGATCTAAAGTCAAAGTAAATATTTTTAGAGGTGGTAACTCTTGAAGGCCATTTGAAATACTTGAGATTTTTAACAGCAAGAGAGGACCAAAGGAGGAAGAAAGGTGGGAGGAAGGCCCGGATTAAGGCTGGCGGAAGCGTGAGCAGACCTCAGGCCAGTCTGTTCGTTTATCCTGTGGGTGACCTCTGCTGGGTGCCAGGCACCATCCCAGGCATCAGGCTACAGCCACGAGGACGACACAGCTTTTGCTTTTCTGGGCCCAGGAATGGTGAGGAAGGCGCACAGAACAGAAAACAAGTGAACCAACGGGGAGCAAGCTAGCGACAGACGGCAATAAAAACTGAAGAAAGTGGGATCTGAGAGAGAGTGACTAATAAGGCAGGACAGGCGCTGGAAGGGCCTGGGGACAGGGGCAAAGCAGAGAAGATGAGGAGAGAGAAGGAAGCCCGTGTGGTCAGAGTGCAGTGAGGAAGGACAAGGGGCCAGTAGGAGCTGAGGCTGGAGAGGAATGAGGGGGTGCGTGCCTGGGTGTGTGTGTGTGTGTGTGTGTGTGCGTGTGCGTGTGTGCGCGCACATGCACATGTATGTGAACTTGAAGGGTGGGGACTGCAGACTGTGCAGGGTTTGTGGGTCAGTGAAAGGATACAAGCTTTTCCCGTGAAAAAGATGGAAGCTGTCAAAGGATTTGGTCAAATATGATACAACTCACTTTTTTTTTTTTTATCCTCATCCGAGGATATTTTTCCATTTTTTGTACAGATAGAGTGGGAGGGAGAGAGAGGAAGGGAGAGAGAGAGGGAAACATCGACATGAAAGGAACACATCGAGTGGCTGCCACCCGCACGACCAACCAGGGCCGGGGACAAACTGCAACCGAAGTACGTGCCCTTAGCGGGAACCGAACCCAGGTCTCTCCGGACCGCAGGCCGACGCTCTAACCGCTGAGCGAAACTGGCCAGGGCGATACAACTCACTTTTTAAAAAAATCGTGATAAAACATACATAACAAAATGTACCATTTTAATCATTTATAAATATACAATTCAGTGGCATTAAGTATGTTCATAATGTTGTACAACCACTGCCTATATCTTTCCAGAAATGTGTCATCCTCCCAAACTGAAACTGTGCCTATTAAACAATAACTCCCCATCCCTCGCCCAGCCCCCGACCCCCACCGTTCTGCTTTCTGTCTCTATGGCTTTGCTCTGGTACCAATGTGAACGAATTGGCTGGTACCTGTCCTTCTGTGTCTGACTTGTTTCACTCAGCATGTCTTCAAGGTCCATCCGTATTGTAGTGTGATGACATATGTTTCAAGAGGTCCCTCTGGCCGCTGCAGTGAGCACAGGCCAGAGGGGAGTATGCGGGGGGAGGCCGGGAGGAGCCATGGCCCTGCCCAGGTGAGAGAGGTGGGGCTGGGACCGGGGAACCCCTGGCATTGCTGGTCTCCTGGCACACACGCGAAGGTGACCCCGAGGCACCCTGCGCTCTCAGGCCCAGGTCTACAAGGCCTTTCCAGGGCCCCAGCTCACCTTTATGAAATTCACTTTGCAGTGGCAGGAGTCGTCGTTCAGGTTCTTGATGACAATCTCTCCATAGTGCTCAATCCATCTCTGCCCACTTAAGATGTTATGGATGCAAGAGGTGACTTTGTTCCACTCAAAATGATCCCCAAGACTAAAGGAGGGAAGGGTGAGAAGATCAATTCCCAGAAGAGCCAGCAGCAAATACAAACAAGCACTGCTGTTCGAAAATAGGTCACGCGGTGAGCTCTCACTCCTGCACCTACGGAGCCACCCCTGACCGGGCGCCTGCCACGAAGGGGCTCTGGAAGTGGCCGGGCTTCTCTGCAGCGGGTGGTCTCCGGGAACAACCCACGCCCTCCTGTGACAGCAGGGAACTGAGAGCCAGAGGTGACCTGTCTCTAGTCCCCAAGCTAGGAAAGGGAAGTGGCAACAGGGAAAAATACGGGGTTGTCACAATGTGATCTCTCTTCCCACACATACATGTGCACACACACACATATATATATGTAGGTACACACACACACACACATATATATGTAAATCTTAAGATACATATATCGTAAATCTTTTACAGTGAGAAAGTATTCAGATACGAGTTACACAGATAAATAATAATCATGAGGATAAGTACTAAGACCAGCACTTATGTGGCACATACCATGTGCCAAGTACTAGTTTACACGGTTCATCTGCACAGCCGTCCTGTGAGGCAGGTGGTGTTCTACCCGGTTCATAGGAGCCAGAGCAGGAGATCAGAAAGGCTGAGTAACTTCCCCGGGATCTGCCATCAGTCAGCAGCAGAGCGAGAGCACATTGGTCCCGGCCGCCTGGTCCCAGAGGCCACCTTTTGTTTTATGAACAAGTATCAAGAATCCCTGAGAGATCAAGCCTTAACCTTCTCCAAAGCAATTCTGACAGTGAGGCAGGACAGCAATGTTAGAGAAAAACCACCATTCTTCATTTTGTTAGAAAGTAGAAAGGAGTATTAAAAAAATGTCTTTCCTGGGAATTTTGGTCTCCAGGAAGTATTTTCATTTGAGGGAAATAAAATGTGAGGTTGTCAAAATAAGGACCATTTGAACTTACTGTCAAACAGATTTAAAAAACAAAACAAAACACCAAGAAACAGACACTCAGTGCCGGGCGCCGCGGGCAGCCTGTTCCTAAAGCTGTCACCGCGGCCGAGTCCCCCAGCTGCCCACCCATAGCAGTACTTACGCTGGCAGCGTCACATGGGTTGTGCCAATGGGGACAATTTCCATGGATTTGCCCCAGAATTTGTTTTTCCATCTCACATCTGAAATGAAATAATACCAAGTGTTACACATTTAGGAGGAGAGCTAGGAAGATACAGTGATACCTCGGTTCTCGAACGCCTCGGTTTTCGACCAAATGGAGATTCGAGAAACTTTTGTCTCGGAATCCGAACAAATATTTGGAACTCGAACTTCCGAGATGAGCCGAGTTGAGCCGAATGGCGTTCATTCGGCCCAGCGCGCCTTGCTCGCGTCATCAGTGTGAGTGCAGAGAGAGTCACGCTTTGTGGAGTCCGCTTTCCTATTGGGTTTCATTGCTTCGGTTCTCGAACAATTCGGTTCTCGACCGTCCTCCTGGAACGAATTATGTTCGAGAACCGAGGTATCACTGTAAAAGGTTCTTGGGCTACAGAAATGATCAGTCACGACACAGAACAATCTCTTCACAATAAAACATGTCATCATACAGGATAACTTTTTATTCTCTGTAAGTACCGACTGAGTACCTGGAACAGAATCCGGGAAGCCAAACCGATAAGATGAAGTCCCTTCCTCGGGAGAGCTCACAGGCTACAACTGGGTAAGGAATGGCCCACATTCCGGGGGAAGGCATCGGAAGAGGCTTGTCTAAAGGGGCCACTTAAACTGGGCTCTGAAGAATACGCAGGAGTTCACTAGGCAGAGAAAAAGCAACTGAAGGCAGAAGACATAGCTTGTGCAGAGAGAGGGACCATGGTGTGGTTCTGTCCTCTCGGTCTCCAACTGTCCAGAGAGAAGAGTGGAAAGACAGATTGGGTACAAAAACAGTGGGCTCTGCAGCCTGGCTGAGTCTGGTTTGTGTGCCTCGGGGGAAACGAGGTGTTTGTCTGGACAGATGTGAGTAGGTACAGACTTTGCAAAGACAATTGGCAGCACATGGAGACTGGAATGGGAGCAGGAGAGGCGAGAAGCAGGTGACAAGGCTGCTGTAGGGGCTCAAGGGATAAAGGAGGAAGAAGTGAACCAAGAGAGTAGTGGTGGGGATGGAGTGGAAGGGAGCAACCCCAGAACCATTAAAGAAGCAGAACTAGACCAGGGGACAGTTTAGGTGCAGACTGTGAGTGACAGGAGAACGTGTGGATGATTTCGGACTTTTTAAATGTGCATGAATGATGGTGCCAAGAGGGGACAGAGGACAGGAAAAGAAAGGCAGGGACAGCTGATCCTTCTGGCTGCTGCACGACAATTCTGACCACAGGGGAGCAGAGGTGAAGGCAGGGAGGCCGGCAGGAGGCCACGGCCATGGTCCAGGAGAGAGGGGGCTGGGACTGGGATGCCCCCGGCCACATGTCACATGGTTCCATTTATATGCAATATCCAGAATAGGCCAGAGTCGGTTAGTGGTGTCTAAGGACAGAAGAGGCTCACTGAAATTGGAAGTTGGGGTGGGGAGGATATTTGCTAGATGGGTTTCTTTTTGGAGTAATGAAAATGTTATAAAATTTATTGTGGTGATTGATGGCTGAACAATTCCGTGAATGTGTAAAAATCACGGGCTATCTCAATAAAGTTGCTACCAAAAAACATAACTGGCTATTTAAAGCAAAACCAGTAGCACTGTACTGCAGGGTTTATAATATACATGAGTAAAATGCACAACCTCATTAGCACAAAGGTTGGAACAGGGAAAATGGAAGTATATTCTGTAAGTTTCCAATAATACCGGTGAAGTGGCATATTATTTGAAGGTAGATAAAGATAAATAATGTGAATCCTAAAGTAACAACTAAGATATGAAACAAAGAGGTATAGCTAATAAGCCAACTAAGGACATATAATGGAACCACAGAAAGTAGTCCCAAAGAAGGCAAGATTTTTTTAAAAAGGAAACAAAGAACAAACAGGAAACAAGAAGCCAGATTTAAACCCAACTACATTCATCACAATAGATATAAGTGGTCTAAACAACCTAATTAAAATGCAGAGAAATGTCAGACTGGATTTTAAAAAGCAAGATTCGGAGTCCCTGGCCTGTGGGAACGGGTGGGAATGTGCCAAATGGCCGACGAGGAAAAAGAAAGGAGCCTGAGGGCAAACTGTGGGTAACGGAGGGAGCGCACGGGGGCTGCTGGGACAAGACCTGCCAACACGTGACACGTGACAGTAACGAAGTGCTTCCGAGGTCAACGACACTCGGCAGTTGGGAGTTTAGAGATCTCATGAGAATTATTTCCAGAGGCTTTTAGTGAACGTTGGAGACGTTTCTAATCAAGCTTCTATTCTGAACTTTAGTAGCAAAGATTCAGAGAAGAAACCATGGTACTTATTACCAAACTGGTAAAACTGATTGTCTCGAGAGAGGAGCCGAGGTGAGGAGAGATGATTTCTTTTGTTTTTGTTTTTGTTACAAAATACTCTTTCATATCATTTACATTTTATAGATGTATTTTTAAAAGGCAGTGTGGCAGATCAGATGTTATCACTGTAAGCAGAGAAAACTTTGTCAAGCTGGCGTGGGCCCCTTGTTTGAAAACCTAGGATGCTCACCTAGGAGTTTCCTTCTACACTCTGACGTTTGCGTACATACGTGAGTTAATACAGTTAATTAATCCATTCAAAAAAATATTTGTAGCCTTGTTTATTCTTCAGAACAACCCATCCCTCTTAAATCTAAAATATTAACTGAATATAGGAAAACCCTCAAATTGATAAAAAGTCAGCAATGTAAAATGTGATTTTAGAAATAAAGTTTAAAAAAAAATTTAAACCAACAACCCCTCTGCTATCTAGACTCTGATAAATAACTCTAAATATTTGGTGTCTCTTGAAATGCGAGGCATCTCATGTGTCTATGGAATAAGATAGAGAAAAAAAATCACAGGAATAAATGGTGGTGACCCAAAGATTGAGAATTTTTTAAAAAGGGACCAACTAAATTATCCTCCTGGTCCCTCACTTATGAAGTGGACAAGTATCCACTGTTCGGAGATGACAAGCAAGACCCGGCAGATCCTTCCAGCGAGCCAAAGTCCAGAGCCCACTTTTAATCTTCACAAGCATTTAACAGAAGTTCCTTAATGAAATAAATCTATGACATCACACAAAATGACGGGGTTGAGGATATTAGCACATTACCTTGCCAGAAAACAAAATTTCCAGACTCCGCGTGACAGGCAGAGACAGGTGGATGGTGGCTGACCTGCAGGAAACAAAGGGCAAAAACAAACCAAGGAATTAACCTGTGTCCCAGGAAGTCCTCTCCCTGCGCCGAGATGTAGCAGCTCAGCGTCTAAGTGAAGAATGCTTCTTTAGCTTAGTTTTCTTTCAACAAGTCTGTCCTTAAGAGGGTGCTCCTAATACCGTCAGCTCCAATTTGCTCAAGTTCGTCAGGGGTGAGAAGAAATGAGGTGAATGGAAGTCTCTGGAATCCTCAGAGAAAAGGGGCCGAGTGATGAGGGCAGAGACATGTTTTGAAAGAGGTGAAAATTTAAAATAGGACATTAAGGGCTGCCTCTCACAGAATCCCTATAATCTGACATTGGCTCCCAACGTCAAAATCCCTATTAGCTGTTCTGGAAGGTACCTGCGTTTAATTACCCTGTCAAATCATAAATGTTCTTAAACGCTACTTTTAAGCAAAAGTTCTTTTTGCCTCAGCAGATTTCACTCCTGAAAATTGCATCACAAATCCAGCCTCTTTGCAAATTACCTACAGGAAGACTGATGCAAGATCACTGAAAATAAGGAATCATGTTTCTACAAAGAGCTAAACAAACAATTCTTGAAGAAATATTAGTCAATTGCTAAGAGAAAAAAAAAATGTTTTATTCATTCTCAGTCAAGATAAAAATACCCAGTTGGAGTCAATGCGCAGTTACCTTCTAGAAAAGAGAGGCCCATCCAGGGCGGAGCACCTTCCCTGCCTGCCCTCACCGGACTCTTTACCTGTTTTCTTGTTTTAATTTGTTTGGTTTTATCCACCAATAAAGGTGCCAACGAGAAAAGGGCTCCTCAGTGTCGCGAGGCCTGTGAACGGTACATGTACTGTTATTATAATTAGTACAACCAGAGTAATGCTGCCAGCGGTGTTTCCAGAAACTTCTGTCAGCTGTTTCTTAGCAAAGGATCTTACATGTAGAGCATCCAGCCCAAAAGTTTCATATTACAAATGAGGAGACAACAAGATTAAGTTCGGTTTCCCAAACACACTGATAAGGAGGTAAAGGTAAATCCCAGCCTGTTTGGTTCACAGCATGGTTTTCAGGGCAGGATGACAAAGCCTCACATCCACCTGGCTCTCGACCCTCAGCCGCAATGAGGAACAGGGACTGAAAACTACTTCCAGGTGCCACCCCTCTAGGTGGAGAAGGGCAGGGACAGCATAATCTAGAGTCCTGTCACATACACCTTTAACAGATGAGATTTCCCCTACCAGCTTGGCCCAAAGAAAAGCAGAGACAAAGATTTAAATAGTTCCGGCATCTCTCCGTTCTCAATGAACACAGATCCCAGATCCAATATGAGATGAGAAATGCAAATCTGCTGTCCCTCCCATGGTTTCACAGGCCTCCTAAGTACACAGCCCCCGCCCTGTGCCTAATGACCATTTAGAAATCTACCTCCTAAAATGCAACTCTGTGTTTTCATTGTCTTCTTATTTAATGCAACCCCTTGAAGATACTTTGTATCACAAAATGCTGCATACATGTCTCCCCCCATCCCCGGCACTAGCCCTCGCAATGAAAACAATGGAGTGAATTTGTAAAACTTGGGATCACGTACATTTTATATTATAAAACAACCAGGACAAGCAACACCCCCCCCCTCCACCCTCCACCACAGTGGAGTGAAAGAGGAGCTATGGCCTGTTCCTCCAAACTGTAAGCAGACTTTAAAGTAGATTATTATAAAGTAGATCATATTCATTCCCACAGAAACAATGTAGTAAAAAAAAAAAAAAGCACAGATCATAGTATTGACCAAGAATTTGGCATTTTGTAAGTGAGTCCAAATGTAAACAGTAAAGCAAAATACAATATAGAAAACCTATAAACCTCTTCTGTAATCATTTCAAATCCCATAAAACAGGGGTAAATATACTATCCATATGAATCCTAAAAGATTTCTTTTTGGCTTAAAAAGGTCTTTGGTAGTGACTTATTTGGTATACGTTGCTTTTAAGAAGTTTATGAAGCTTTCAGAGGAATTAAATCGATGCCTTATTTTTCTCTGACGTTTCCTTACAACAGGTGTTTACTCAGGAACCGTTTTCGGGAGTATCTGCCAAGTGCTCAGGGAGCGAGGGAGAGGTGGAGGCATGGAGCTAGGTGCTACCTGCACTGCCATCTCCTGGCTGCGTGACCCGGAGCGTGAGGAGTGTTTAAACCCTTTGGGTCCCAGTTACCTCAGCTGTGAAATTGGTCTAATCCACCTTCTTTGCAAACTAAAAAAGAGGACACACGTTAAGGGCAAGCATCACATGCTGGCATGAAGTAGGCAGGGGCTAAATTTCAGCCATTTTTCATGAGTGGTATTTTCACGTGGTTCTCATGGTGACCTTGTGTCTTCATCATCCTTATTTTACAAATTTGGAAACAAATTAAAGAAGCTGTCCAACACCACACTGTCAATCAGTGACAAGGGCAGCCCTTTAACCTAAGTCCTCTGATTTCAAATCCAGTGTCCCCCTGGCTCTCTATGGCTGCTCTCAAGCTGGGCCCTGCGCCCTCCCCAAAGGGCACCATTGAGGTCCTGTGTCATGAATATTTAGAGAAGAATCTCTTGGGTCTGCCCTTTCCAACCTTTTCGAGTCTCATTAATTTATTTGAAAATGATGTCTGAGGTCCCTCTGACTTCAAAATGCTCTAATTTTAACATTTGCTTTCAGTGTCTTCTTCAAATCCCAGCATCCGTGGGTATCAGCCGATTGAAAATGATTATTCTAAGGCTTTAACTAATTGAATGCCCAGGAAAGGGTGTGATTCATAGCTAATAACTTAATCTTTGTTGATGACAATCTTTCTCAAATCTAGTGGAGCAGAGAACAATGAGCACAATCCAACCTGTCTCAGTGCTGATTTTAGTCATGGTGACTCAGATGAATTCAGAAAGGCCTTCGGTTTTGAGTTGGAGTCTGGACTGACCCAGCCCTGGAGGGGACACTGTCTGTTAGCTCAGACTGACCTTTAGCATCCCTCTCCGTCCCCATCCAATCAGAGCAGTTTCTAATTGTCAAGGTTCCCCAAACATTCAAGACATTAGTACATGTGGTTTTTACTATGCAGTTTCTTTCTCCAAGCCTGAAGTCAGTGCGTTCCCCTCTTGGTTAAGAATTCTTGTAATTTATTTATTTATTTATTTATTTTTTTTGTTCAGGTAGAGTGGGAGGGAGAGAGAGGAACAGAGAGAGAGAGAGAGAGAGAAACATTGATGTGAAAGGGACACATCGAGTGGCTGCCACCCGCACAACCGACCAGGGCCGGGGACAAACTGCAACCGAGGTACGTGCCCTTAGCGGGAACTGAACCTGGGTCTCTCAGGACCGCAGGCCGACGCTCTAACCACTGAGCCAAACCGGCCAGGGCATCTTGTAATTTATTTATATATCAGGTCTTTCTTCACCATGACCTAATCAATTTTAATTATGTTTTGGATGTACCAAGAGGTGAGAAGCAGGTGGTGAAAGAGTGTATTTCAATATATGTGTATTTTGTAAGTTTTTCTTTTTTGGATTTATACAAACATCCCTTAACTACATCAGTTCTGTAGCTGTCCAGAGATGTAACTGGACGGTCCTCCCAGTTCCTGACTCACACCCGACCTCGAAGGGCAGCTTGTAGAACAGAGAACAAGAGCCAGGTTTAAAAAACAGTCATCCTGCCCTGGCCGGTTTGGCTCAGCGGTTAGAGCGTCGGCCTGCGGTCCCGAGAGACCCGGGTTCGGTTCCCGCTAGGGGCATGTACCTCGGTTGCGGTTTGTCCCCGGCTCTGGTCAGTCGTGCGGGTGGCAGCCACTCGATGTGTCCCTTCACGTCGATGTTTCTCTCTCTCTCTGTTCCTCTCTCCCCCTCCTACTCTACCTGAACAAAAAATGGAAAAATGTCCTCGGGTGAGGATAAAAAAATAAAAAATAAAATAAAAAAAATAAAAATAAAAAACAGTCATCCAGGGAGGGGACCACGTGGCCGTTCTTTCCATGGCATCCATCAAACATCTAGCGATGGCCTGTGATGGTTCAGGCACAAAACCATCTGTAACAAAAACCTTCCCCCTCGTGCAGTTTACATTTCAGTGCAGAAGTGGGTGAGAGCGACAATAAACAAATAAGTACACATAGTCACAGTGTTAAGAATAAAGTCAGTCGTAAGGATGGGGGGATGGTACGTGGCGGTGTTATTCCAGACCAAGTTGGGGCAGGACTCCCTGTAATGGAAAGTTCTGCGGCGAAGGGAAAGGCAGAAGTTAGCTACACATATAGCAGGAGAAGGGCATCCCAGGTGGAGGGCACAGCCCCTGGGCCGGCAAATGTGTGGTGTGTTTCAGAAGAAGCAAAGGCAGCGTGGCTGAGGCTGAATGAGAGAAGGCGGGAGGGGGCAGGTTATCTGGGGGTGGCACCTTGGAGGGCTTCGTGGGCTATGGCCTGGACTTTCCCTTTATTCCAAGTGGCATGGGGAGTCACTGAGAGGTCGGCAAAGGTGTGGCTCCTCCCTGAAGCAGTTCCCGGCTGTGGGTGAGGAGCTGGCTATGGAAATGAGACCGGTCACTGAGTCCACCGCAGTGATCCCAGTCACGGATTACGGTGGCTGGGGCATGGTGGCCGACACTAGGCAGGGTGGCAGTAAAAGCGTCTGGCTTTGGAAGGAAGGCTTCTGCACGAAGCCCCAGGAGTTGCTGATAGATAGCATGGGGATTATAAGAGAAGGATGCCAAGGATACTGGCTTGATGTGGGGGAAATGATGCTGCCAATTATTTTATTTTCCCCTGTGTTCAGAGTTAATTACTTATTTGATAAACACATGGGTTCTTGCAAACAAACAAACAAACAAAAACCCATTACGGGATGACTTGAACTAGACATGGAGAAGCACTGGTGGAGTCTTATATTTCACTTACTGCTGGTTTTAGCTGAAGCGCTTGGATCTCCCCTGTGATGATGTCTTTAAGTAAGATGCCACTTTGATGAGTCGTGGGTAACTCTGCTTACTCATCGATAAAGACACTATTCAGAGGCGACATGAGGGTGCAAGGAGAGGAGGAGGGACTGGTATGGTTATTCATAGTCTGTCCCATATATGTTCAACGTTCTCCTGACGAGTCACAGAAAAGAGAGAAGGGCAGAGCCCGCCAAGCAAAGGAAAAACCACCTCATGTGAATCTCTTCCACTTTAGGAACTTTCAGGAACTCCATTGGGCCTTTCTGTCGCCAACTCTCGAGTGTGTGGCTGGGTGGGTAAACGGTTAAAATGGCTGGGACTGCGATCGGACTCAGGAAAAGGCCCTTTCGGGTCACAGCTAACTGCATAGCCTAATCTAGACACCGAACCTTTCCAAGGGCCCAGAGAGAGGCAACGCGACCTGAAATGGGTTTTCTGAGCCCCCCAGTGGCTGGCGGGGCTCAGCACTGTGGTAGCTCTGTGCCAGCAGCCGCAGGAGACAGTCCCCGAGGACAGAGAGGAAGCCGGCTCCTCCTGCCCCCCTTCTCTGGGCTTCCTGAAGGCCAAGGCCGAGGCAGACTTCTCGGCAGGGAGACAGCCCCAGCCCCAGGTGGGACGCACGGCCGGCGCGTGGAGAGCTGACGCCTGAAGGCGCTCCTCCACAGAGGCCCGCCAGCCACCCTCGCCGCTGAGAACAAAGTCCCGCCGCGAGTGGGGGATGAAAGGCTTCAGTGACAGTGACAGACAAAATCCCACAGTCCGAACAGTATACAAAAGGCTATTTTCACATCGGCAGCTGATAAACCCAGCACTCTGAGCACAGCAACTAAACCTACACAAGAGAACCCCTAAAAAGGTGACAGAGAGGGGACGCAGGAGGAGAAAAGGGCGCTAGCCGAGGGCACTGGAAGATGCTGAGGCCCATGGCCCCCGCTTCCTCGCCCGTGACTGACCCTCGCCGCACCTGCCACACAGGGGCATTCTGAAGATCCAATGAGATCCTGAACAAGTCTGAAAAGTACCAAGTGCTCTGCACATCTAGTGCTTAGCCGTTAGGAGGGAAACGTGCACAGCAAGTGTTTCCTCTTGTTTCTGACCGCAGGAGTCACTTTGACATTGCACTTTTGGGTCCTTCAGGTGAGAAACAACAAGCTCGATGTAGCTGAACTCTGGGAAATAGCACTTACTTCGCCCTTCCGGGCCACTGACCACGTTGAACATCCACGTACCCGCCCAAACCACAGAGCAACAAAACCCAGGCCTCGGAGGAAAAGAAGACAGTGCTTTTCAGATGGTGTCTGGAAACACAGTGGAAACGCGGAGTTACCCTTGTTACTTTCCAGGTCCTTTCCCTTGGAGATAGGATTCCCATCAACGTCCTCACTGGAATAAAGTTCCACCCAAAAATGTGAATGAGGGGGTCCTTTCCAGTTTGTCACACGAGTCATTCAGTGACCTCTACTCACTGTAGAGGTACAAGAAAGCCATGAAACCCCAGCTCTGAAGGTGGACGTTCCTGTTACCTACACGTAACAGACAAGGGTGGAGTCACACTGTCTCCAGGAAGGTAGAATGTCTCCTGGGCTGGAAGCAGGAAGACCATACCGGCAGGTAGCAGCATGGGACAGAGGGAACCCACTGGCGCTCTTTAAATGTGTTAAATTATAAGGTCTCCGTGCACATCAGGTCAGCATAACCAAGGGCAGGCAAGGGAGAGGGGGAGACTAAACTGATGTGTCCCCCGCTGGCCAGGAAAAGGAGGGTCCTGGCCAGAACTCTTTCCTCTCCTGGGGCCAGTGGGCAGCCCCGCACACAGAGTTCAATAGCCACCTCTCTTTCTTACTACACCCACCTTCTGATTACAATGTTGGCTTCCCGAGTAATCTGTCTACAGGAGAGTATGCCTGGTCATGCTTACCAAAGCCGTCTGGTCCCCAGGACGGTCTACTGGTTATAGCAAATGCATACAGTAGCATTCTAGTTTAACCTTAGCTAGTGTGACTCTGTCCCTGGGAGACTCACCCATTCTTGGGTGTATGAAAACAGCCAACCATCTAAGGCCACAAGGCTCGATTCCAGACAGGAAGTGGCTCCACCACATCAGGATTGGTGGTATTACCCTGGTGCAGCCAGCTGTGAAGACTCCTGGCTGCCTCGGGGACGGCCTTCTGTCAGAGACGCCCAGTGACATCACGCCCCCTTCGAGCCACTTGAATTAGTAGCATAGATACAGTATATCTTATTTCAACACTGCTCTTACCATTCTTAACACTGTACATTAAAAATATTTTAACAATTGCCTCTAAATATAAGAGCAGTAACCATGTGCTGAATGTTACTGTCCTCAGTGCAATAATAGTGTACACATCAGTGTATTATTTCACTGGAGCCTCACTGCTACCTATGGGCTAAGCGTCGCCACTCCTGTTTATAAAGAAACCGAGGCTCAGCAAGTTGAAGTTACTTATACAAGGCCACGCAGAGGTGGGTGGGGAAGTTAGGCTTTGAAAGCAGATCTACCGTATACCCAGCATACCCTATGCTACTAACAGTGGCCAGATCTCTTTCTTGCTAATTTTATTGGGATCTGTTCTATGCAACTGGAGACTAAGTTGTGTTGTTCTTTCCAGCCCTGTGCACACACACCCGGGAGTTCTGCCTTCTCTTGCTGCATCACCACAGAAGAAACCCAAGCAGGCCCTGGATTTGGCCCCACCCCGTCAGGGGCTCGTGGGGTTGACGCTTAGCTGTAGACCAGCTCATGTTACTATTGTTTCTTATACCCATTCATCCTGTCCTGAGTGTTGGCTGCAGTTAGGGGCTATTTTAGGCCTTTATTTTTTAAAATGAGTGCATATGATGTCATGGTAACCAAGTTACATTTTCATTTCCTCTCATTCCATTTTAGGTTCAGGACTTAAATAACCCAATTGAATTTGAATCCGATTATCTTATCCCTTTAACTATTGATTTAACCCCCTACCTCCCTGACATCAGTGTTTAATTTCTCCTTTTACCTTCTAACTGGCAAGTTGCTAAAATGTGCTTCGGGAGTGTTGCGTCTCCATTGTCCTTTGGGTTTCAGAGAACACTCTTGTAATCTGCAGTTGGGACCAGCACCGTCTCCAAAGCCTCTCGGCCACACCACCCTTCCCTTCCTGCCCCCATAATGCTTATCCACTCACAAGGAGGGCAGCAGGCTGACAGGAAGGGAAATAGTATTTTAGTGAACCCCACTTCCTTTCCCTCCATTTTATAAGAACTGGGAGGAGAGAAATGTATCAAAGCAATCATGTTTAATATTCCTAGGGTGACATTTGGGGAAATATGGGGAGTGGGCATGTTCAGTAGCTGCCTTAACCAGGGGGAGAGAATTGTTGTTTATGTTTTATTTTCAGTATCTTTGCACCCTGTTTTAGCCAAGCAATTCCTTATTGACAGATATTCTGAATGTTGCCAACAGCCCACTATTGTAAACAATGTGGCAAAGCATCGGTAACGAGAGCACTCACTCACCTGACACTTTTTACTTCGCGTCAGACTGGCTGGTCTAAGTGCTTTGCAGAGAGTATGTCACTGAGTCCTTACAAAGCCAGCTGAGGTCTGTGATGCTCAGCATCCCCTTTGAAGAGGGAACTGAAGCACAGAGGGGTTAGGCAGCTTGCCCTGGGTCACAAACCTACTAAGAGGTAGAGCTGAAATTTGAACCTACGCCGTCGGGCTCCAGAGATGCTGTTCTTGAATATTATTCTCTGCCAAATCAGAGATGGGCAGAGTCTCGTGGAAGCGCAAGGAAATCAGGCTGCATAAGTCTGAAGTGGGTCCGTCCACTAGATGAGGACAAGCACCCACAGCCCCCACCCACTGCATTTCCCCAGCACCTGGAGGAACGCCAGGCACGTGGTACATGCCAGAGAAATATAAACACAGGAATGAATACTTATTCTTAAAATCAAGAGTAATACATGTATTTGGTGCTACCCAATCTGATGGGGGCGCTCATGCTCTAGAATGATGGTGGCAATGAGGTGAGGGTGCACACTTTAAACCTCTAAATGGCAGTTTGGGCAGATGCTTCCTGCTTTTGAAATTTCCTCTCCCTGTGACTCGGAACGGAAGGGGCACGGCTGACGTGGACGGCCAGGTGAGAGGGCTCGGCCTTCCCAGCACCTGCACGCCCAGGCTGGGGCTAGGTTTCCGTGGAAGGGAACTGGATCCCTCTTCTTGTAAAAGCACTGTAATGATCTCAGTCGCTTGGAAGCTAGCGAAAGGTGGAGAATAAATATTTCAAAAGCACATGTAGTGGGAAGCATAAGCAGCTCCTCCAGTACAAGTGGACAAAAGGGTGCATACAACAAACAAAAAGGGTGCATATCTACCTGTTCTGAAAAATACTGGAAGCCCTTGTCCTCACGAATACACTCGTATGTTTCTCCGAGAACAGGGTTGAAGGGCTTGCTCCCCGCTCGGAAGTAGCTGGATGCGTATGCAGACACAGCAAAGGCTGCCACGTACACCTAAGAGCAGGGGGGAAGAACGATGTTATTTCTCTGTTACCAAGACATTTTTACAAAGATGTGAGCAAAATAAAGGCCTTCTTTCTCTCTTTATAGTTTATTTCAGAAGGCAACGATTTGTCTCTGGTTTAAAGACAACCAAATCAACTTTGGTTTATCTTTGAATTGTTTTTATTTTTGGGGAAGGAGGGAGAAGGGGAGTGGGGAGAGAGAGAGAGAGATTGATTGGTTGCTTCTCACATGTGCCCCTGGGATTGAAACCGAAACCTAGGAATATGCCTTGACTGGGAATTGAACCCAGGCCCTTCCAGTGCATGGGACAATGCTCTAACCAACTGAGACACATCGGCCAGGGCCAACTTTGGTTTGAAGTTGCAGGTTTAAGTCATGTCCATTGTGGTCTCAGAGACGAATAAACTAAACATTACCCATTTGTTCTGATGCCTAAAAGGTGGCAGAGGCTTTCAAGATGACGCTATTTACCACATAAATTGCACTGTTTCTGAGCTGTGCAGCTGAGTCCAGCAACTCTAAACCTGACAATATCTGGAAATCCTGATATCCTGCTAAGGTGTTTGGGGAGAAGGGGAAGGAAAAGAGAATTAAAAAAAAAAAAAAAAAAGCCAAACTTCCCTCAAAATTCAGGAAACAGCATCCTAAGTTTAAACCATCCCAATTTGATACTGTAAGAATCTCAAAATTTATTTTGAGAAAAGAACATCTGTGAGAATCATTCCTGAGCCTAAGCAACAAGCCCCAGGACAGAGCACAGCGCCTGTTCCAAAGTTCTGCTTCAGAAGGAGGAAGAAAGGGAAACTCAGGAAGGAAAAGATAGGAAAACTGGATGAACATGAACGAGGCTTCAGTGGACCTCACTGGGAGGCTCTCTGTGTTTTTATCGGGTCCCCTTTTGGGGTACCAAAAACACACATTATTTTTTTGTCTTTTGGGGGGGATGGGGGAGAGTCAAAAAATTAAACCTAAGTAGCAATAACAGCATTCTCCTTCTGATATTGAGTAACAATCTCCATGTTTCTTCTTCATTCCAGCACATTTCACGACATTTCTTATCTTGGAAAAAATGCTGAGTGCCCTTCATCAATGTTCACTAGTCGCATACCTTTCTTTGCCATTTACAAATAGGGTCCACCTTCCCATCTCGCTCTACAGAACATTCTACAGCAGCTGGATAGTTTATTTAAAAAATTGATTCACTATGCTCGATTCAGTCTTTGTTCTTGGAACCTGGGTATTCGTTTCCCCCCTCTGTTTCCTCAGATGTTTGTGACCTGTGCAACAGTAAGGTCACACTGTCTATATCGAAGGCTGAATGAACCCTGAGTCACCTTCACAATTTAAAATACAGCAAACTATATAAATGAACCTTGAGTCACTCACAATGCCGAGGGAGGTGGGAGGGAGGGAGCAGGCACAATCTGCACCCTCCTTTTGGGCTGGAACAGGAGAATCTCTGCAGGGGCACCAGCTGACCCCCAGAGATCCCAGGACCAGGTTCCTGCTCAGTGTCTTCCTGGACTCTCCCTCTAGGACATATTGTGCTGGAAGGCAAATCCTTTCCCCAAACTTCTACCCGAGGTCAGTGACACCAATCAATCAGCTGAACATCCTAAGCGTTTCTTAATTGCCACAAGAACAAAACACCTTTAAGAATACTTTCATCTTCAAAGTTAATCATTTTCGTTAGAGAAAAGAGCTGTCCACAAACACCTACCTGTAACACTTGCCTTGGAAGCTATTTGCTTCCTTTTGTTCAGCAGAAATTCTCTCTAGGGAAGAGTAACAAAGAAGATGGAAAAGATACAGGCTTGTTCTTCTCTCCTACACTCATGATCTTTAGTATCAAGAAAGCCTCTTTGATGGGAGAAGTCCCTGAAGACTGTGTGGAATGACTATGGGGTGTCTCTTTTCACCCACTAGTGAGAGTTCCCCTTAATCTTCAAATCACTAAAGTAATAATGTTTTAATTAGGGTTGAAACTGCAGAATGCTTAGAATTTAGAAAAGAATAGTGTCCTCCATCAGCTAGAGGGTGACTTTATGACCAGAAGTCAAGGGGGTGTACCAACTCTAATTTAGCCAATCAGCAAAAGCCCAGGACAGCGACTGGGCATTTGGGGGAAGACACTGGCGCCCCAGCCTCCCCGTACCAGGACCTTACTGTTGAGCAGCTAACACGAGGAAGCAAGAGGAAGAGGCGTTCTGGGGAACAAAGTCAGCCGAGTCCCAGGAAGGCTGAGATGCCCACAGTCTTACCACCATGGAAGTCCCCACAAGACGGGGAAGGATGAGACACACCTGAGCCCTGTCAATGGAAGTGATAACTGAGTAGAGGACAGAGGTGACTTTTTCTAGGATGAGCTTCAAAAGCAACAACAACGATTCTATAGAGTAAGAAGGAGGAGGGGAAGCACAAGAAGAATCTTTCTTATGTGAAAATCTCTTCTGTGAGTGTTATTTTCTGAAAATCTAGGACATAGATGTGAAAATATTATTCCAAAAATAAACAAAAACATTCTCAAGGGACATTTATCCCGGACGAGAAAAACAGCTTGAGAAATTAAATTCTGTCCACCCGAAACAAGTAAAAATAAATACCCAGATAGCCCTTGGGGCATGTTTTCCAGCCAGGCTTATCAGAACAATCACATGGAAAGTTCTGGAGAAGGAGGAAGCGCAAATCCACAGAAGTGTCCCCCAGGAACCAGCTGTCACAGAGAAGCCCCCCACCATCCCAACCAAATGGCAAATGCTGACAGGATGACTGAAAACAGCCAAGCGTAGGGGAACCAGATGTCCCTGGGAAATGAACCTATCAAAGAACAGCAGAGGGGACTGGAGCTCTGGCTCTGCCCGGCTGGGCGTGGCTGGGCCCCGAAGGCCTGGCTGCGCAGGCGCAGGGCCGGACCACCCGCGGAGAGGCTGAGTCCTCACCATCCTCTCCAGGGCACTGGGGATCTGCGCGGCCTTGTCCAGAAGCTCACTGTACTCCAGCTCCTCGCAGAGCCGCTGCAGCGTGTTCAGGGGCTCGTTCAGCTCCACCGGCATGGCCACTTTGGACAGGTCCTTCCCTATGTTATTTCTCAGGATGTTCCACAGGCTGATGTTGCTGCTGTTGGGGCAGGGCGCCGGCAAGCAAGTCCTTCTTTTGGACTTGGCTTCCCCACCACTTTCCAGAACTGGCCCTGAAAGGGAATAAGCCTGGTTGATTCTATGTATCTTTCCACTTTATTTTGTTATTTCTCTAAAAAAAAATCTATGCATAAAACTTTAAACAGTACTCAATTTTACTATTAATCTCAGTTATGCAGAATATGAATGGAAGTTATAAGATACAAAGAATTCTGCACAACTAAACCCAGCACTGAAAATGACACGTGCTCACATTCATGCACTTCGCTCACAGGGAGGTCTTCAAGGTCCTAATGAAAAGCCAGCTACATGTACACTTAAAATAAAACTGGAAACTGGATTCCTATGTCCAGAGCAGATTACTGTTCGCACTTTTTAACTCATTAAACTCTTTTTAAAGAGTACTTCAAATTCTGATTAAAAACAAAAACAAGCCCTGGCCGGTTTGGCTCAGCGGTTAGAGCGTCGGCCTGCGGTCCGCAGAGACCTGGGTTCGGTTCCCGCTAAGGGCACGTACTTCGGTTGCAGTTTGTCCCCGGCCGTGGTTGGTCGTGCGGGTGGCAGCCACTCGATGTGTCCCTTCACATCGATGTTTCTCTCTCTCCCTTCCTCTCTCTCCCTCCCACTCTATCTGTACAAAAAATGGGAAGGTATCCTCGGGTGAGGATAAAAAACAAAAACTTTCAAACTCTTTTAAAAGTCACTTTAAATTCTGGCAAAAACAATTGTGTCTATTACAGGATAATTAAGAAAAAAAATCGAAGTCATCCATTATTCCACTACCCAGAAACAGTAGCCATTTATATTTTGGAATATTTTCATTTAGTGTTTTCTCCACCTATATAACTCATACTGTATGTCTAGTTTTCTGTTCTGCTTATTCAGTTAACATAAGTATTTTTCCATGCTATTCAAAATTCTTCAAGAACATAATTTCAATGGCTGTAAAAAAAAATCCCATTCTATGTATATGCCATAACTGACTGTTGGACTTGGATTTACTAATGTTTTGCTATGATGCAAAAAAATAGTGAATGTTCATATTCCTAGGTATTATCTCTGATTATTTTCATAGGAAATACAGAAATGGGATTATGATGCCAAAAACTATGAACATTTTTAGACTTTTGATTCATATGATCAAAGGGCTCCTCAAAAAGGCTGATCAATGTCCCATTTATCAGCAGCATATCAGGCCTGTCTTCCTTCTTTTGTGTTGTTAATTCTCAGCTGAGGATACTTTTTCCATTGACTTTTAGACAGAGTGGAAGGGAGGGATGGAAGGAGGGAGGCAGGGAGAGGTGCGGAGAGAAGGAGGGAGGGAGAGAAACATCAATGTGAAAGAGACACATTGACTGGTTGCCACTCGCACGACCCCAACCGGGGCCAGGGACAAACTGCAACTGAGGTACATGCCCTTAGCGGGAACTGAACCCAGGTCTCTCTGGTCTGTGGGCCAACGCTCTAACCGCTGAACCAAACCGCCCAGGGCTCATCATTCATTTTTAATTTTTGGCAAATTGTTGGGTGGACAGTGTTATCTCCCTGTTTTTAATTTATATTGAGAAAATTTCTAGTGTGATCTGGAATACTTTCAAGAACATTTCTTCTTTTATGAACTGCCCACTTTCCTATTTACATATTAAGAGATAATCCTTTGTTTCCATATTTGTTTTACAACTTAATCCCCATTTGACATTTACTTTAAATTTGGTCCAGTGGTGTTTGATGAATGAGACATTGACATGTCAGGTATCTGCTACTATCAAACTTTTTCTCTGTGACAGCTTCCACTGTGTCATGCCCCTAAATTCTTCTCCCATCCCAACTGAGCCTCTTTTCACATGAAATATTTTGCATTACACCAACATATGAGAAAGTGGTGAGCTGATCGTATTTGAATATATCAATTTGTTAAAAATAAATATTTAACATTTATTCTTTATAAGGCAATCACTCTGAATAAAGAAGTTGCTTTGATAAGCAGAGAAGAAGGAAACAGGCCCTACTTTGCAGTCTCATATTAATCTAAGCATCCAATTAATTGAGGAATTTGTGTTAATTGTTCAACGTGGGTAAAAATCTGATTTACATAAGTAAATAGCTGCAAATGATCAGAGTTTTTAAAAACAGTCTTCCATGTAATCTCAAAATATTTTCTTAGATTAAACTAATCTAAATTTGAAAGAATACAATACGACGACTACTGCTAATGGCCAGTACGTATCTAGCTTTTACTCCGGGGGCAGCAGCCTTCTAAGCATTTTATATCTACATATATGATCTCGCTTATTCTTCATAGAAGCCCCTTGAGGTAAACTGTACTACTGTCCCCACTTTACAGATGAAGAAATGTTTAGGAATCTAGTCTTCCTCAGTGACAGTTAAACTAGAGGATACCTATTTTTGTTTCCAAATGCTGCCGAAGAATCAAGCTGGGTTTGGCCCAGTGTTTGTTCAAGCTAAGGCGATTTGGTCGGCATTCTAGCAAAATGGCTGTGGAAAAAGACAGAACCAGCCTTAATCTCTTGTGTGCTTGTCCTGGCTGGTGTCAGCTCAGCACGGCTATGGTCTTAGGTTCGCGGGCAAGTCCTCTGTTCTCAACTTGGACCTCGGAGGACTTCATCAGTTGTCGGTTTTCCTCATCCACAGTGAGAGCTCCATTTGTGTGTGTGTGCTAACTGGCAAGGGAATAAGTGATGCTTCTTTGTTTCTCTTTCAATTCACCTTGTTTTTCTAGAAAAGCAAGTAGCTCTTGTGTTATCAGTCTTCTTCTCTGAACCACTGGTTCTCGGACTTCTCCACCAAAGGGTTCATCTCTCCAGGATCATTTCAAGCAAGGTAGAGCCTAATGAGCATTTGACTTCCAGCAGGTGTGATGCGGAAAGGACGTTCTTCCAGAGAATGTGCTCCCCAAAGAGTAGGCTAGTTGGCATTCAGACAACAACCCTACCTTATCATATTTCACACAGACTTACTGAGCTGGGAAGCAATGAAATATCAAAAAGGACCTGACCTCCTCCCTGTCCTGCATGTAGATAAGAAAAAGGGTAGTGCTCTTGGTAGCCAAGCATGACACAGGCAAACCTAGAGACCCCAAGGCACACCAAGACTGGGAATATCTGATGCCACAGGACCCATACAGAGAACTGTCCAATGGGAAGATTCCTCCGACAGGCACCTTGCTAAACAGACCTCAGTCTGCTTACTGAACTGCTAAATCGAGCCGTTTGGGAATAGCCAGACACTCCAGGTACCCCATGGTTCAAACATGTCCTGGGCATCATTTCCACTCCTGGGATCAACCAGTAATGAATGGACATCTTAGGAATTTTGAGGGCTCCCACATTTAGATGGTGTAAGTTTATTACTTTCAAATGTGTTGTCTTATAGAATCTGAAGCTAAATGACCATTCAGACTAGACCTTTTATTAGATAAGCCCTATAGAATGCCTAAGTTCTGAAAACCACTAGATACCTAAAGGTAGAAGGTTATACTCTAATATGTTTGCAGAGAGAATGTTTGACCATATATGGGATATCTGTTGTGCTCATCTTTGATATTTATATAATCAGTATACCCTCACTTTAGAAAACAGACATTTACGCAAGTAGACACATTTATCCGAATGAATACATTTTTCTCATGTGAACGCTGTCTTCCCACCTAGGTTATAAAAACTTGAGGGTGGGACCATATCTTAATTTTCTTATGTAGTACTTGCTCCAGTTCTCCGCCTGCAGCAGGAACTCTATACACGTCTATTAGTATTCTGTAAAGATCCATACTTTCAGATGTCAAATAAGTAAAATCTTACCCAAGGTCTGTCTCTCATTATCTAAGTCATTACTGAGATTGTCCAAGGAAAGGTTGTCACTTATGTCGCTAACATAGGAATCATCCTCAGAAACCTATGGGGAAGAAGAAATGATATACCTTAGAGTGACAGTCAACAAGCCAGATTATCAGAGAACCTTTACTCTAAATCATCAAGCGTTTTCAAACCCACATCGCCAACCTAGAGAAATAATTTTGGATGCTGTTTTTATTGAGGTCCATACATGTTTGCTGAGGAGGTGTGCACAGCAAACACCTGTTATTAAAATGTTTATACTTTCTTGACTCGTTCTCCCAAGGAAACTACAAGTAAATGCAACATTTTCATTATCATTAAAATTCCTATTAATTCAGGCTGCATTTTCAGAATTTGTTAGTACGTATTTGGGTAGAATGAGCTACAATTTGCCTTTGAACTATTTGTGGAAAAGAGAATGTTCTATAGAAATTAATAAACAAAGTCAGTACTTCCATACTGAAGGAGTAAAATGATCAATACACACATTTACACAGCAATGCCAACTATGATACTTGCCTATTCAGGAAAGTATGATGTTCATGTATCAATTTAAAGCAATATTGCTATATATTATATATTATTATAACAATCATATTACAATATTATAATAATATAATAATTGTATGTTGTAAATTAATATAGGTTGAATCTGGTGATTAAAAGGTATACAAGATGTTAATTTCTGGCCCTGTGGTAGAAATATTACCTTATCAAATAGCTAACAGTCAAAATTATTAACCTGTAATTACTGAAAAGAGGGATAGCAAATAGAATAACAGAAATAAGGACGTGCTCAACACCTGCTTTCACAACCTTTGCTTCTAAGGCCTTATATCCTTCATGTTATTTGGGGTCTGACTTATAAGAAAAGCCTCAGGATTTAATGGTAAAAAGGAGCAACTGAGTTTAGTGATTCTAAATATGAGTATTTACTGAATGAGCAAAGCAACGAAAGAGATTTTTGAGAGACCTAACAGAAAACAGTGCTCAAACCTCATTTTCGGAAGAGCTTGGAGATAACAGAACTTCCTGCGCATCAAAAAACTCGGAAAGGGAGTCAGTGATGGAGAGCCGACTCTCATTGGACAGCTGGTGGACCAGCGGTCGGTTGTCATCTGTGGAGTTTTCCTGTTTAAAACACCAAGACAAAACATAAACATATATTTAGAAACAGTCTCAAGAGAAGCAAAATCAACAGCTGATTTCATTGCACCACACGTAAGGTCACGGCCCATGCAAACAAGCAGCTCAAAGCAGAGGTCAGCTCCAGAGTTGAGGAGAAACAAGCCTCACATGAAAATAAAACGGAAAACAAAGGTTTCCTCCGAATGGGCACCTCACTTACAGGCACATGAACGAATCTCAAAGCAAAAAAAAAAGAGACTGTCCAGGCCAGTCTTTGTTCCATGGAAGAGGGAAAAATTCCCACGCTCTCTGAATCATATCCTCTCATTTTCTACCACTGCAGGATGTTTCTTTTCACCCTAAAATGTCCTCTGAATTATATTGAGTGTGTCCTCGCATGGCTGGTTCACAGCAACTAGCTTTCTGCGGCCCCGGGTACTCACTGAGGCCAGTATGCTGCTCGTGAGGTGTCCCTTGACAAACTGTGTTTTGGTCCAAAAGTGCCCCTGGCGGCAGATCATTCATTATTCATGGAGGATGACATACATTCTCTTTGTCTCTCTCCACCGCAATGACTCTTTGAGGGCAGGAAATCCCCAATTCCCTTTAGAAGCTGCCACAAAATAACACAATGGAATACCGCGATTTTCTCATCTGGCCTGGCTCTCCATCCCCTTCTTCACTGGAGCTAGACTTTCCCACTGGGAAGGGCCTAAACGCTTGGGAGATGTGCTTTCTTTTCGAGTTGTAAGTGAGAAATTCACTCTGCCTCAATCACTGGAGCAACTGCTTTGCACAGAGCATGGAGGGACAGAATGATGGGCAAGACCAGGTTGCTGGCCCGAATGAGTGGTGCAGAGAGAACACATCCAACACACCTGAGACCACGGCCATGGACTACAAAGAGCTCCAGAAGCAAAGAGGAGGAGAGTGATTCTCTTAGGGGGCTCTGGTCTGGGGAGGGCTTCACTTTGAGGAACGAGAACAGATCCAGGACAAGAGGATTCGGCTCCTTCCAAACAGAGAAGATTGTTGCCCTGAATGTCCTGGTAGCTTCCATTTCTCACTGGGCTGATACAGAAGCTGCTTCTGTATCATTATGTATCAGATAGATGCACCCCAGAATAATCTGGGGGACAAAGTTACAGCAGATTATGTTTTCCCCAAAAGTTTTACGAGTTCAGGGCACATCCCTCAGTCTCATAAACACATGACACCCAGGCTGGGGATACTGTAACAGGGGGGCCGTGCCAATTTTCATAATTAATAAAGGGCAAGCGGTCTCTATGAAACACTTACTTCAGGGGCACCTTTAAATATGCATCCCCTTTCCTTTTAGATTCTTCCTAAGAAAGCTGGCCCCAGGTATTTGTTAGAAGATCTACCCATTGTAACATCCACACCGCTTTCTGAAAAGCAGGCTTCTTCTCGACCCTAACAAAGAAATCTCCCTGGGATCCACAAATACGTGCCGTAGCTGTCCCCCTCCAAGGACAGGCCTCCCTCCTCAAGAGAGAAGACACCGTGGTAAAGGAGGGAGCTCTGCTCATGCCCACGGAAACAACGTAATTGTCCTGTCTCTACTGTGCCATGGCCACATAAGGGAGTAATGTATTCACCTGTTCCGCTCATTAACTATTACCAGCCCCTCCCGCTCCCTCCACCTTTCTCCTCCTAGGCTGCGTGTCAGAAGGATTTCTTGGCTGATCAACACTGAAACTAATATGCCCAGCCCCAGCCCCTTCTCTGCTCCTGTCCTCTAGCTATTTCCTACCACCTGGAAACTCACGGGACTGCACCCAGCACGGGGTCGTTACAGCACGGCGCCCCATTTAATAAAACATGAATCTCGTCGGTTCCATTAAATGAAATCCCCTCAAGTTTGTAAGGCATGATGATAGTTGTTTGTCTACTTTATATACTACAAAAAGATAAACAGAAAAAAGGGAGGAAAGGGAACACATAATCCCATCACACTGAACCGACCGCTATAACCATTTTGATACATTTCTCTACAGTCCTTTTTATACACGTAGCTTTGCTTTGAAATAACTATAATCTCTACCTATGCATGTAATTTTACCAACTTCCCTCAAACAACACTGCACCATAATAATTATTTTCAAAATTAACAATTTTATTTTTTCCTGAGGATAAAAGTAATGTGCTCAAAATGGAAAATACAAAAAGCAAATAAACATCACTTAAAGTCTCATCCCCCAGATGTGGCTCCTATTAACCTGTTGGTGTATATATATTTTTAATGTTTTTATTGATTTTAGAGAGAGGAAGGGGGTGAGAGAGAGAGAGAGAGAGACATCCATGTTAGAGCAGAACATTGAGTGACTGCCTCCTGCACGCCCCCTACAGAGGATTGAAACCTGGGCATGTGCCCTGACTGGGAATCAAACCAGCGATCTCTTGGTGCCTGGGGTGACACCCAACCAACTGAACCACACTGGCCAGGGAAGTGTAGTTTTGTATTAAAATGCCTGTGTATAGATTTTTTTTTTAAGTTTGAAAAATTGGGATCATACTGCTTATGACCGGTCTTCAGTCTGCTATATTCACTTAACATTACATTGTGAACCTTTCCCCAGGTTGTTACATGTTCTTTGAGACAATGAACTTTAGTTGATAGCTAATATTTTAATTGTGTGTCATAGAAAATCATTTCCTTTATTGGAAATTAAGAGTGTTTCTGAATTTGTACAGATGAACATGTTTGCAAATGTGTCTTTGATTGTATCTTATTATTCCTTGAAATCAGCTCTCAGAAGTAGAATTATTAAAGATGTTTAAGAAAAAATATATATTACCTAATTACATCAACAAGTAAGAGAACCTCTGTTTTCTCTACATATGAGGGGGAACCAAAAACTTCAATTCAGAAATATCTTGTGCTAATCTAATGGTTTTAATGAGCATTTCTTTGTTAAGAATTAGGCTGAACATTTTTTCCTTTAAAAAAAACTAGACGTAGAGATGTTAACACTGGAGGGAGCCAGGTCAAGGTACATGGGCCCTTCCCTCTGCATTTCTTTACACTTTCCGATGAATTTGCAAGTATCATTATTATTTAAAAACATTTTTTTCTTTATTGATTTTAAAGAGAGAGGAAGGGAGAGGGAGAGAGAGATAGAAACATCGATGAGAGAGAACATCGACTGGCTGCTTCCTGCATGCCCCCCACTGGGGGTTTGGCCCACAACCTGGGCTTGTGCCCTGACCAGGAATCTAACCAGAAACCTCCTGGTGCATGGGTTGACGCTCAACCAGTGAGCCATACCGGCTGGGCTGCAAGTATTAAAATTAAAAACAATTTTTTTAATTATCTGTATTTGGGGGTTTTGGTGAATTGTGTCTTTTTTCCCATTTATTTGTTGAGGTCTTAAATTACTTGCTATTATTTATTATTTAAATATTAAATATATTATCATCTAATTAGCATTATCTAAGTCCACCATTTTCACTGAAAATATTTTTCCTAATCTATTATATGCATTATTCTTTCATAGACTTCACTTTTCCCCCCTAGGAAAAAAGTTAGCCAAATCCATTAACATGTCTTTCATAATTTTTCCTATCATTTTCACATTTAGGAGTCCTCCCTATCCAGCCATTTGATAAATATTTCAATCAATATTTTTGTTTGAATTTTTATATTTAACTCTAATCCACCAGCAATTCAGTGTGCAATGGAAGATTTAAACTGCTTTCCAAACTGTTTATGAGCTGTGCAACCTGACTAAATAATCCACCTCTTTCCCATTGACTTTTGAGCCTCTTTATTATGTTTATTTCTTTTATATATAAAATTGTGTTTTTGCCTGAGATAGTTATTCTGCCCATTCCTAAAGCATCACCACCATATTTTCACTACCGGGGCTTCACTTTGGCGTGACATGTCTTTCCTCACCGCAACGCAGGTGATGCTGTTGAGGAAACAAGTGCTTTGGCCTCATTAGATGTGGACTCAACTATCCCAGCTCTACTGCTCAATGGCTGTGTGGCCTGGAATAAGTTACTGAGCTTCTGTGGGCTTTAATTTTCTTGTCTCTAAAATTTAACCATCATCTCTCTTAGAACCGTGGTTAGGATTTTGTGAGATAATGCATTCAAATGCATAAGGAATATAGCAAACCAGCAATTTAATTAAGTTCCATTCTTTTAGACTTTTCTTTACAGTTCTTACTTATTTAGTCTCTTCAACGGACTTTAGCCTTCGTAGAATGTTATCCCCAGTGTCACTTGGAATTTCATTTGGAATCTAAAATATTATAAAATAATTGAAGCGCTTATAGCCTGATGACATTAAGTGCTCACCTTCAGAAATAGAAAAGAAAAGAACTTGATCGGATGTGGGAGTAATTTCTGATAGGAGAGGGGAGAGTTTAGAATCCAAATAATTTTTAGAACATCAAAGCTGGGTAATTTGTGTGGCTAACAGGTAAGAGAAGGTAAGCAAAGAAAGTGAGAGATCCTAAAAACAGACCACCTGGGTTGACCCCACTGTGGGGACTGTCAGCCTGACAGTGAGTGTGCAGGCTGGGGCGCGACTTCACGCGCGGCCTTATTTCCTGCGGCAGGCGGCTGTTCCCTTACTGGGAAAGTCAGCCCGAGTCACTCCGTGAAAAGCAGGATAAAACATGGGAAACAGAACATCACTGGAAGAGGAAACAGATCAATGAGACAACTACACCCCCAATTCAAGCCTCCAGGAGGCAGTCTGGAGTGTGAACTTGCAGAGGGATGTCTTCACCCCGCAAGGACACTTCCCAGTGCTCAAACCTTCAGGTATGAGACTTGTGAGGTCAACTTAAACACGTGCATTTTCGAAGACTTGTGGTTTTGTTTTTGTTTTTAAAACACAAACAGCCTCAAGTATACACACTGAGCACAAATTCCAAAAACCCCAACCAAAGGGTCCACTTGCCATAAAAATGTAAATATGTGGTGATGCTATTTAAGCGGTGAGTACTGCCTGAAACAGACAGGAAGCCCTGTAGACACCCTGGGTTTGGCAGCAAGAGACCCTCGCGATGGCTGATCACCGTGATGGACCTGCCCCGGCGGACCAGAGAGCCACCTGGCGAGCGTGTCCGCCCAGGCCTCCGGTGGGACTCAGTTTCAGTCTGGGCTAGAATGACTGACAAGATCTCTTGTGGGGAGTGAGTGTGTAGAGGAAGTTCCTAGTTAAGCACAATTCAGAAGTAACAAGAGTCCTGTGAGGGGGTAAATCCCTCCTCAGAAGAGGGCCCCGGTCAGCACGTGGCACAGCTTCAGACGGCCGGGGCCTCGGGGCCCGGCAGGCTGAGCACGGATCATGTCAGCCTCCAGTCCTGTCACGGACACTACGGCCTCCCCGGGTGAGGTACTGGGCGAGGACAGGAAAAGGAGAAAGATGGATTAAGACTAAACATTAGAAACTCCTTTCAAATTTACACACACACACACACACACACACACCCTTTGCATGTTACCTTCCCTATTTTTTACTTCAAATGACTCAGTCTAATAAATGTGTTAATACAAAATTTAGCACATATGCCTGAGGCAGGCATAAAATACCTACAAGAGATAGCTGAAAATGGTTGTATCCCTAATTCCCCTTTTCCACTTCTCAAGCAACTCACCTGTATTTTTCTGAAATTTCTTGTGGCAAACCCATTCAGAGTATTTTAGATAAATGTCTCAAGTCTTGAGAAAAGACATTTTTAACATACTATTAAGTGGCCCGGACCTTTCCATTGTAATAGAGTAGTATTTGCCTCAGAGAGTAAGGTTGTGCTTTTAAAAGAAAAGAACAAAGTCACAGGAGAGGACGAAGGGAACAGCAGAGGAGAGAGTGGGTCCCACAGGGGAAGCCAAAGGAGCTGGCAGGGAACGGGATGTGCAGGTCTCTGGAGAAGCAACAGGAGGACAGGTTGTCTATGCAGTTCTGGCTGCAGTGATACCTAGTGAAACTGGTGTCACTTAGGAGAAAAATGGGAGAACGAGGCACAAAGGGAAGAAGATTTCTGGGCGGCGGGGGGTGGGGAGCAATTTAAAATGCAGTTAGCAGCAGACTCCAGAAAGCCTTGGGATCCGGGCCCCTGGCCCCTGGGCCGCAGTGGGAGGCAGTGGAGGTGAGCAGCCCCCTCAAGGGGGAGGCAGGGAGACAGGGCGTCAGGTGAGGTCACGGAGACATTACCAGACCAGGGGCCTTACCCACCTCTGCCAGACTGTCCACCGACTTGGCAGCAGTAGGGGGGTCGAGGAGCAGGGACTCAGCATGGATTCTGCATAAGCGTTCTTTAAGGTCTGTGTTTTGTGCTAAGGCCTGGAACATGTTAAAAATAGTGTTTCAGAAAAGCACAGCAGTGGGCCCAGCGTGGCAGAGCCCCGAGGGGCCACCTTTGTCCTTGAATGCTATCCGACAGGGTGCCGCTTCTGAGATGCCTGGGAAATAAAAGGTATTAAGCGCTGGAAACGATGGCCTTCTCTAACCTCGTCTCCAGAGATGGAAGGAGGGGTTGGCAAGGCTTTCTCTACCTCGGAGAAGGAAGTCACCAGCACTTTCAGCGCTTGTTCTGATCAATGGTTTCACGCCCCCTCCTCCTTCCCCGCTGAGTCTGCAGTGTCCCTCGGTGTCCCCAGGGGATTGGATCCAGGACCTCACGCAGATACCAAAATCCACAGCTGCTCAAGCCCCTTATACGTGACGGCGTAGTGGTTGTATGCGATCTACGCACATCCTCTCGCATACTTCAAATCATCTCTAGATTACTTATAATATCTTATACAATGTTAATGCTATGTAAACAGCTGTTACACTGTACTGTTCAGGGGAAAATGACAAGAAACAAGTCTGTACATGTTCAGCACAGATGTGACCATCACGACCATCGTGGGCCTAACTACATGGTGCACATCAGCAACGGCATAACATTTTTTTAAAGAATATTTTCTATCCTTGGTTGGTTGAAACCGTGGACGCAGAACCTGTGGATACAAAGGGCTACTGCAGTCTCTGGCCAGGTCCCTCCTTAATGATCCCAAGCTTCTCTCATCTTTAAAAAAGATGCTGTTCTCACCCCTTATGATTGGCCATATGTTAATGTTATTTAATTATCACACCAGTTGAATTGAATCTTGGAAAGGAGGATTTTGTGGAGGATTAGTTTTATTATTTCCCAATATAGGAGTTGATTGTTTTAGTCATGCTTCATGATTAAGATATTTGCTTTAAAAAACAAACCAATCTCACTTACCTGGAGAAGGGCTAAGAGCCAGGGCCCTGGAATGGGGTGTGTGAGCCCACCGCGGGCCTCTTTCCTCTGGCCCTGGGCTGCTCCGATGCCCTGTCCCAACCTCCCGCCCGGGGAGGAACTACCTTGACGGGAAAGGAAGATGCTCCCTTCCTGCTGCTAGCCTGGTGCTTCATGACCAACTGTTCCCCAGGGGCTGTCTTTGGAAAGCAACAAGTTCTCCACCTGACTCCCTGGAGTGCCTGCACAAGGTCCATCCTGTCTGTCTGTCTTCCTGCCTCTTCCAAGAATCTCAGCGCCTTTCCCACCAGCAGGGCCCACAGCGTCCATCTGCGGAGAACACACAGGATGTGGTACTGTCTAATCTACGGCCCGGATCTCTAGCAAAAAGTTTTGCTTTATCTGTTAGAACCCATGGACAGAATGGGTTATTTGAAAATTCTCAAAAATCCTTTAGGAAAGACTGAGTAAAAGTTTCTTAAACACACAGAACAGAGATTGCTACCTGCAGCAACAACCTCTGCACTTACTTTATTCTGACCAATGTGTCGCTGGTATCTTAGTACAAGTGGCTAGAATCTATAACAGTAGCTAGAATCTTACTATGGCCTGAAAAAAACGTGTTATTTTACTAGCTTCTTTTTCCTTTGCAAGCCACAGGCAGAAGAAAGAAAAAGATCAAGATTGCACATAAACGCAGCAAGATTTGTTCTGATAGCCCTGGGACGACTCTATCAGGAACGCAAGACGAAAAGGCAAGGATCATTCTGTTTTCTTTTGTTGTTGTTAATCCTTACCTGAGGATATTTTTCCATTGATTTTTAGAGACTGGAAAGATGGGAGAGAGAGAAACATCGATGTGTCACATCGATTGGCTGTCTCCCGCACAACCCCAACCAGGGCCGGGATCGGACTGGAAACCCAGACAGGTGCACTTGACTGGGAATTGACTCCAAGACCCTTGGGTCCACAGGCTGACACTCAAACTGCTGAACCAAACTGGCCAGGGCCATTCTGTTTTATGTTAAGTTTCCAAAATTCTGAACAGGGGTGACAAGAATTCCTTAGTGAAGGTAATGACAACTTTGGCCTAGGATACCATGGCCAAATGCATCTCAATGGCCAGCCCTTCATGGGAAGGGGAGAGGAAGACCACAATGAAAGGGACTTTGGGGAGCCCATAAGGGTGAGATAGCTACTAAAAGCCAGCCTACTGGGAACAATGAGAAATGCTTTACCACTAAATTGATTTTTTTAAAAAAAGAACTGCCTTGTTTCTCTGGAACCAAAGTAGCACCGGATGTGAGGCTGGCCCCCACAGTCCAAAAGGGGGTGTTTCTGCCTCTGACCTTGAAGGTCCTAGAGCGCCTCAAGGCAGGCATCATTAAGACACTAGACACGAAGTCAGTCCACTTATTTCTTATTTCTTTCAAAGGTAACATACTTGGAATGTTCAACTGAGTGAATATTCCCTAAATGTTTTACAATAATAATAGGTACTAGTAGTAATGCATTTACCGTTAACATTACACCCAGCGTTACTTTCCTCTTCCCAGTGGCCTGATGCTAGGAAACATGAATGGACATTTTCTAGTTCTCTCAGTTGGCTTCTGAAGACAAGATCCTAACATTCGTCTCCCCACCAGAACCTAAGTAGAAAGTTCACATTCGTCAGATGGTCACTTCACAGGTGCGCACACCCTCTCCTTCTACGGTAGAAATTCCAAAATACCAGCGACAGGAGGGGCAGAGAAGTATGTTATTCTAAAGGTTCTCTAGCTTTCTGACAGATATAAAGGGAGCAGCCAGACAGCGTCAGCCACTGAAAGTAGAGTCCCAGGATGCTGCACGTCAACGGAGCCTCACTCTTGTGAGGGATAAACTGGAGTCAGTGAAGAAGAGGAGAGAGAAGGAATACTGAATGGCTTACTGAAAAACAGCAGAGGCTTGACCTGAAGCTTGTGCTGGTCCAAGGCAGATCCATTACCTACACTGCATATGACTCATCCCTCTCTCTGCCCAGGGGCGGTAGGGGAGGGGCGGGGTAGCTGAATGTTCACTATCATATCAAATGAAATCCTTTCCACGTCTTTGGGAAGAGTGGAAAATAGAATCGATGCTGTGCAGCAGAGAAGAAAAGTGAATTTAAAATATTGCTCTGCTGCCTGTTATTTGGAAAGTTAACCTAAGCTTGTGATCGCGTAGGTACAGAAATCTTCCAACTGTCAGATGTTGTAAGCATTAACAAACCAATGTCTATTAGACACCCAAAAACACAACAAAAGCTTTAGAGAAACAGAAAAATCAAGATAAAGAGGAAGAAACCAAACTTGAAGTATTGTATGCTCAGTGAAATACTAGCTACTAAGGTTTGGGCTAGGCTTAGCTTGGGTCTTTAGAATAAACAGATCTGATGAAAGGCTAGAATATGATTTGGATAATTTGTCTGGTTTTCTCGTGAATTTTCCACATGACCATGGGGATGAAAAATATAGAAAATTCAGGAGCCCGGACCCGTGCTCAGGCATTTCTGTGCACAGACGTGGAACTTACGGAGGAGAGGGCACGCTTCAGACCAACGACCTGGGCAGAGGGGGACGAGGCATCTTGCTCCATCAGCTGCTTCAGCTTCTCCCTCTCCGTGGATATGGTGTTAAAAGCCGACCTTAAAGTGAAGTAAACTATAAAGATATAATCATTATAAAAAGGAATGAAGGAAGAGGCATAATTAAAAACGAGATACAGAGAGACGTGTTTCTTATAAAAGAACTTAGAAAAATAACAGCCCTGAATATTTTCAGTGCAGGAAAGGGACACTCTAAATTGACTTTTTAAAAACACATCTGGAATGTACACCGCCAAGACTGAACCCTAATGTAAACCATGGACTCTGGGTGATAATGACGTTTCAGTGTAGGTTTATCGATTGTGACAGATGGACCACTCTGGTGGGATGTAAATAGTGAGAGAGGCCGTGTGTGTGTGTGTGTGTGTGTGTATGTGTGTGTATACATGTACATGTATGGTAACCCTGTACTTTATAAGCTCAATTTTGCTGTGAATCTAAAATTGCTCTAAAAAAAAAAAGTCTATTGAATTTTAAAAATCACATTTGTCAATTCCAAAGCCCCTACCCACTATAAAATTCCATAATTTTATGACTTATCACCAAGAAGTTTTTGGCACTAGCAAGACATATACTTCTGGGTTCTTATAAATATTTAGTTTTGTTTTATCCCAAAAGACTGGAAACGTTTGAAAACAAAGCTTATTGGCGTTCAGCGTAAAAACAGTAACACTGCAGTAGAAGAAGTACACAGGGCCTCAACCAAGGCACCAGAAGGAATCACCAATGAGAGTCAGATGGACTTTGTGTGACTTGAGGTGAAATACCCAGAAAAGACACACCGTCACTTGTCGTATGCCGGCCGGGGACAGACCATCTGAATCTGATCACGAGGAAAAACAGACAACCCAAAATAAGAAACACCCTATTTTTAAGAATTGGCCCATATGTCAATTTCATCAACAAGAAAGGAAGGGTGAGGAGCTGTTCCCAGTGAAAGGAGACTAAACAAGCATGACAGTTACTTGCCCTACATGACCCTGGACTAGACCCTGGCTGAAGGGAAACGTGCTATTAAAGAACATGACTGAGATATCTGACATTTGAATATGGAAGGCAGGACAGGTAGTACTGTTTCGGCGCCAAATTTCCTGGATTTCATAACCATACTGTGGTAAAGAATACCCCTCCTCTTAGGAAATAAACACTACAGCAAAAGGCATAAAAAAGACATAACTACGACTCCTACTCTCCCAGTTCAGAAAAATGAGCACATGTGCAAGTGGATGTGTGTAAAAAGAGATAAAATGAATATGGCAAAAAATATTAAACGTGGTGAATTTGGGTAAAGTATATATGGGAGTTACTTGTATTATTCTTGCAACTTGTTTGTAAGTTTGAAATTATTTCAAAATGCATAAGGTGTTACTTACCCTCTTCCTTGCTAGTGTTTCCAGCTGCTCATCCCAGAATTATCTCCCCGCCTCTAAACTTGGCAGCCAGCTCTCTGCTCCCCCCCCCCCCCGAGTATTCAGGCATCACAAGAACTCAGCTCTACTGGGCACGCAGATGCCTGAACTGATCTTTTAAAAACCATTAACCGGTACGGCAAAAATATTCATCCGGGGTTGATCACAGAATGTACAAATTACCTCCTACGCATGAGGAAACTTCATCTAAATTATTGATAATGGATATCCCATCTGAATACTATCGTTCCAATCTCCTCTATTATATTTTGCTTTAGAAGGGCAGGAAGAAGGAAGAGACACACGTCTTCTCAAGTGGCCTGGCACATTACTGAATTTCACAGGTTGCATGTTTAGAGGTACTGTTATTCAAGAGTGGCCTATTTAGTGTCACAGAAACTAAACACGCATTATTGACTTCCTTCCTTCACTTCACAGCCATGGAGACCGCTGACTCTTCCTACAGCTTGTCACAGAACTTATCTAAAGTTGTGGTGTTTAACGACAGACTTACACCATCTTCACAAAGTCACAGTCCAAATAAACAATTTGTTTAAACACACACACACTAATTATGGTGCTTCTGTCTATATAAGACACTGGTCAAGAGTCAATAGGTGCTCCATTTTCTAATAACGTCTACGGAACACACTTAGCTCTTTGATTTAAAAGATTCAATTAAGCAAAATAAGGACCAATAGTGTGGGCTCCCACACCAGCCCTGGATTCTTCCCAGCTCTCTCCATTACTCACTGTATGACTTTGGACAAGTGTATGATGAACCTGAACCCCCGTTTCCTCATTTGTACATGGGAATAATAATAGCATTTACTTTATAAGATTGTTAGGGATTAAATAAGATAATGCAGGTAAAGTACTTAACCCAATGCAGAGCATATAATAAATTATCAATGTTACTGCAATAACAACAGTGACGGGGAGGAAAGCAACATGACAATGCAAGGGTGGAGACTACAGTCTCCTGAAATGCGGGCAGCAGTTTTAGGAGGGTTCTCCAGTCTATTGCCAGGACAACGCCTATAAATAACTGCATGCAGGGCAGAGGTTCTACGAACAGGGACTGAGCAGAATCTATTGAGCGATCCGAGAGCAGCCTCAGCTGGAGAGCAACGCCCCGCAGTGAAGTACAGCTTCTTCTATTAGCCAGGACTCCCAGCCTCTGCAACCGCACAGGACACCACCGCCTAGCTGAGTGGGTCCCTGGGGGAACGGCTTCACTGTCGTTTTTTTACATTGAGGTATAACTGATAATATAATATATTAGCTTCAGGTGTACAACAAAATGATTCAATATTTGTGCACATTGTAAAATGATCGGCACAGTAAGTCTAGTTAACATTCGTCACCTTAGTTACAACTTTTTTTTCACTGTGTTATTTATTGCTCTAAATTAAATACATGTGGCACTCAGCTGGCTGCCACTTTACGACATCGATTTCTCTGGCTTTCAGAGGGCCTGCAGTCAACCAAGCTAGAATATTCCTATTAAAATGTTTACGCTGGCCAAACACACACCATTTGCCTCAAAATGTATAGCTGACGAGACTGTGGTGGCATAAAGTAAGCCAAAAGAAACTCATACAGTCACTGGGTTTAACTTTAAGGCATAAAGCTCTTTCTAAGCCACTTGACAAAGGGGCTCAGAAGGCCAGATCCCCATGCACTAAATTTCTTAAATGACTGCTTAGGCCCACTCAGAGGACATTAAAATAGTCCTTGCCCTGGCCGGTGTGGCTCAGTTGGTTGAGCATCGTCCTGAGCACCTAGAGGTTGCAGGTTTAATTCCCAATTAGGGTACATGGCCCAGTTTGGGGCTCAATCCCTGGTAGAGGATGTGCAGGAGACAGCTGATCGATGTTTCTCTCTCTCTTTCCTTCTCCCTTTCTCTCTCTCTAATATCAATAAAAACTTTTTTTTTTTTTTAAGGCTGTTTTGCCCAGCTGGTGTGGCTCAGTGGTTGAGCATCGACCCATGCACCTCTTGTTTGATTCCTGGTCAGGATTCATGCCCAAGTTGTGGGCCCAATCCGCAGTAGGGGGTGTACAGGAGGTAGCCAATCAATGTTCTCACTCATCAATGTTTCTATCTCTCTCCCTCTCCCTCCCTCTATAAAATCAATAAAGAAAAAAAAAATTTTTTTAAAGGCAGTTCCATTTAAAAAATAGTCTTTCACAGCAGCCTCATGACCCAGCACACACAGAGCAATGATTAAAGGCTATTCATAGGAGACCACATTTATATTGATCGTTAAGAATCTCAGAGGTCAGGAATATTCTCTGTGACAGGAATGTTTTCTTACTAATATCTACCATGACGCTGGAGAAAGAGAAAAGGAAAGACAAGTGGGTGTAGCACATCTATGCATATCTGATAATAAACAAGGCCACATGCAAAGTCTTAGATGCTCCACTACAAGGAACCTCAAAGATCACGAAGGCCACTGCCACCGAATAACCGGCAGCTCTGCACCTCCAAGCGCCCTTGCCCCGCGGTCTTCGGGCCACACTCTCAGAGCATTTGCTGTGTCCTCTAGCAGTCCACCCTTCTGGAGTAAGAAAGTCCTTTGTGTTTTTCAGTTGACATTTACCCCAGTGTGTCTCCTCATTGGCAAACAGATCTACTTCCTCTTCCTTGGGGTTTTCAAACATCTGACAGCAATTGTGGCATCTGTTTACTCATTCATCATTTTCCCAGACTGTCTTTCGCCATTTCTCAGACCCCCTCGCTGTGCTGAGTGGGACAGTGAGCTTCTGACAGAATGGAACGCCGAGCATCATACAATTGACCCTTAGCGATCGCTACCGATCCCGTGTCTACCGGCTTCTGTGATGACGTTTACTGAGTTGAGTGGTGAGAGGGCAGACAGGATGCTTGGATGGCCAAGGCTGGGACTGAAGGACACCTGTACTCTTACTTCACCTGAGCTCTATTTTTAGATATGCTCCTTCTCTAGAGGTCTCTCAGCATCAAAAAAGGATAAGATCTTGAGGAAGGCAGAAAAATCACAGACATCGCCTCCGTGGTGGCAGTATGGTATGAGGCTAAGAAATTTTGCAATAAGACAAACATGAACCAGCATCATACCTCTGCCACTTAGTTACTGCTTAGAGACTGAAAAAGTCCTCCGTGTCCACATCTGTATGTGTGGATAACGCCGGTATCTCAAGAATGCTTCCAGGAAACAGTGCAACATCATGTGATTGTTTAGTATCCAACCCACCATAGGAATCATTGACCTTTCCCTGTTTTTAATGAATACAATATTTTGGTGAATTTTCTTGAAAATGGTAACATACCTAGAATATCTGGGGTGGTTTGGTCCTTTGTAATCTGCGTCTCCTCTCAGAATACCCATGGTTTATAAAATACTTCTTGACCCATATTTTATCCAAATGGTTCCTTAAATTTAAATACACTGCCTAATTTAATGAAATGGTTTTACTTATTTGCTGATTATCTACATATAAACACAATTGCTTAGCCGATTTTTATGTTACATTCTAAATTATGTTTGATAAATGATCTGCCTTTTTTTTTTTTAAGCCATATGTATCTTTCAGCCTTTAATTGATGAAAATGGCATCTTTGTGACATACTTGGCTTTTTAGTCAATGCTTCCACAAGC